CATGCATTATTATTATGCGCATGCGCGCAGTTGGCCATATAATCTAAAATTGTATCTTTGGCGTGTAACCCGGGGCACTTTTTCTTCTTCTTGAGCTTCCTGCTCCTACTGCTGCCAAGGAAACCAAAGCAGCGGAATAAACTGATTATGTGCCTACCGCTGCTCTCTGCAGCGAAATTAACAGCCCCAGCTCCTCTGCATGAGCTGCTGCAGGTCCCCCAATCCTCCTCCCATAATTCCCCCTCCTCGGATTGGATTGGCTGGCTAGCTGGCCTTCTTTTCGGTTTCCCCGGCGGCTTCGTTCGGTGAGCGGGTCACATAAAATTTGCTAATATTTTGACCTTAAGATGTAATATCTGCTCTGGCCCCATTGTGCACAGTGGGCAAAATCTTTTACACATCATGTCAATTCCTATAGTGGACTGCATGATAGCTTACATTTTTCTGGTGCTCTGTAATATTTATAAAATTTACAATCCCAAAATTTAAGACTGTTTTATAATTAAATTTAAAAAAAAAGGAAATTCGTTTCAGGTTGTTCATGGCAAATAATCAATTCAGATATTTATATAATTTGTTTAGTAACCGATATATCTTGTATTTGGAAAAACAAATTATATAAATAAATCTAATGTATTTGCAATCAAAATTTTTAAATATTATGTTTATGAACTTCTTAGTTATTCAACTTGAATAAAAGTTTTTGTTACATTAAATTCACTACCCCAAAAAACCAGGCTTACAAAATGCCCACTCCATTCCCTTTCTTATCCATGCATTTATCAGCAATTTGCACAACTCGCCCACTGTGGCAGTCGCGTCGTCTTGGTCCGCCACAGGCAGTAGCTGTGAAATAAAAATAAAACTTATTTATTACATCTGTCTAAGTCAAGAGCCAGAGCCCGACTTCATTACTCGGCCCCAGGGCGACTGTTCAATAATTTATTAAATTATTTAAATAATAAGCGGGCAATTTCGATTCGCTGTTGTTGAAACAGTTTGATGATTGATATAGAATACAGTTTTCTTTGATCGAGGAGGGATAGTTAGTGAGCAAATCAATCAGAGGAGGGCCAAAGCCCGGCAATTTCCAACACTTTCGGTGGAAAGTGCAGCGAGGTTTTAGTTACTGCCCTTCGCCAATCTCCGATGACCAACTATCTGCGAAGTCAGATAGCTACATAGTAGAGGCTGTTCTGCTCTACATGCCAATCAAATGCTACCTCAGATCGCAGATCCAGATGCCAGAATACAGATTCCAGAATACAATCTAAAGGCCACCTAGTAGTCGTTACTCCAAGAGGAAAAAGCCTCGAATGCGTAACAAGATCAAACCACAACCACCGCACTCGGGAGCTTGGAACTTGGAGCTGGGAGCTGGAAGCTGGGACAGCAGAGGATGTTTGGCATTAAGCGTAATTGTTGGGTTGCTGGGCTGAATAAAAAGAGAAAAATATCATTAAATACTCGGTACCAAAATCAAAGCCAAAGACACAAGTGAAGTGTAGCGGCGATGCTGAGCCAACAAGTCAACTTTTCAATACCCTTTGATTCTGGAAAGAAGGAGGGTAAACACAACATCAATATTCAATTAAAAACTTGATTCAAGTTATATTTATTTATTTAATGCAAAACAGAGAACGCACTGAATCTATTAGTTAATATCTACTCTAAGGTATATATATTTATATAAATATATAATATAAACTAATGACCTAATAGGAGGTGGTTTAGTTCAAAGAAATATCTAGAGATTTGTTGTCGACAGATTTAATTAAATCAGCAAATAAGCTTTATATTAACCGAAAATTGAGAATGGATGTCTGTACCTTTGATCAATTTGAGAATAGTTAAGTTCAGAGGTTTACTGGTCATTCTACCCAAAATTAAAAACGAAATTAATTGATTTTACTTTCTTTTATATTGATTTTAAACTGATTTTTTATGTTACAGCTTTCAAAGCTCTTAAAGGTTTACATTTCGTAAGTTATGAAAGGGACTGCACTTAAAATCCTTTAAACAGAACTCTATTTAAAAGAAATAAGCCCAGCTTTTTGGTAATAAAGTCTTAGCTTAATTTTACTGAGTAACCTCAAGTCTAGCACGCCTTTCTGCAGTGTCACTTTTTGGTTTTAGGTGGGCAGCCACCGATACGAGCGAACCGAGCCAAAGGTTGCTGATGGGCAACTGGAACTTGGTACTTGCCACTGCCGGCAATCAGGTCGCAGTCTCTGCCTCTGCCTCTGCCTCAGTCTTGGCCAGCTCTTTCGGTTCGCTTTTGCTTTTTGCTTTTGGCCCGGTCGGGACGTGGCCAGACATGAAGAATTACAATGAGTAGGTAGTTGGGCGCAATTGACGGTGGCTCAGCCCCAGTCTCAGCCTCGACTTCGGATTCAGCCAAAACCAAAGTCAAAACCCAAGCCAAAGAAACAACAGCCTCAACCTCTGCAAGTTGGCAGCAGGTCGGCCCACGTTCTGCGATCAGCGCTCCACTCAACTGGCGGCTGGGCGAGCTCCCGGGCATAGGTAGCACAAAAAGCTGTTCAATTTAGAATTCAAATTGTTGTCTTCGCTTCTTGTCGTCCGTCGTCCATCGTCCGACGTCCCCTTCTCCTCGTCGGGGCGATCTTTCTCCGGCTGCCCCACCATTTGGTGGCTGGTTGTTTGGCTGGCTGTAGGGTTAAGCAGGTCAAAATCCGTACAACTAAATTGAGCCCAGAAATACAATTGGGCAGAGCAGAGCCGAGGCCCCTTTCAACCCGGTAGAATTCATTTTTCGCTGCACAGTCGGCTCTTCAAATTAAAATGTATTTTTCGGTGGGGGGGGGATCGTCCACTGGGTGACCAGAAGCAGCCAGAAGCACTTTTGTAGCTGCTTATTAGTGTGATGTGTCTTTTGGGCAAAGAGTCGAATTCGGGTTTTCGGGGCTCCGACTGACTTGGCTTTTGGTCGAGCTGAAGATGAGGGCTGCGGATGAGGACCTGGCACGTTTCACATTTGACGCGCCATACGCTGACCCTGCTATTAATTTATTTTGCAAAAACATTCCAGTGCTTAAGATTATCCCCAGATGATCGTTCATTCAATTTATATCCATTAAAATGCTTATAAAAGATGGGTGCGTGACTTAAATATCGATTTGATCCAGGATTCGAAAAGAATTCTTTTATTTAAAGGTAATCGAGTAACTCCTTGCATATCTTTCGCATCATAAATCTTCACAGTCCTGAAATTGGCAATTTCGATCGTCATCAGTTCCCAAAAGTTAAGATTATTCCCAGATGCTTGTGTATATATTTTGGAAACATTTATTAGCATATTGGGGATGGGTGCGTGACTTAAATATCGATTTAATCCAGGATTGGTAAAACACTTTGTTATTTATGAGTTATCTAGTAATTCCATTCATATATTTTACATTTTGAACCTCTCATAAATCTTTACAACACAAATATTTCCAATTTCAAATCTTCATAACTTCCTCATAGTCTTCCTCGAACCCACCACTGATATCTTATATCTCTTTCTTATCCGAATATTTTAACCAAAACAAGAACCAATTTTATGTGGCTATTTTATGATTGAAACCCACTTGAATTCTATGTAAATATTGCGCAACAAAATAACTTTATTGGGCTTAAACTTTATAGCTCTATTAAAAAAAGGAAAGACTGAGCCAACGTTGAAGTCGTATAAAACAAGAAAATATTTACGAGTTCTTTGGCTTGGCCCCAAGCCCAGGTTTGTAATCGAAACGAAGCGAACTTTTGACGAATCATTCGTCTACGTATGCAAATTGATCTTGAAAATCCATTGATATTTCACCATTTGTCCATGGTCAGCTCAGGTCACCATCGCTTCTCTCGCAGCGACTGAAACCCCAACAAGACAAAAAAAGTCAAACTTGAACTATAAAGTTTAATTAGATTGAAGATGAAGACTTTGATTTCGATTTGAATTTGGGCGGAGCTCTAAGATAGGTATCTCACGTGTCTGCGCTTTAGAACACTCTGTTTTCATGGCAAATATTTGCAAATTCTTAGACTAAAGTAAATATTCAATCAAAAAGCGTGTATCTTTTGTGTCTGTTAAATAGATATGAGCTGCGAAAGTCGTTAAACCCCGAAGTCAAAAATGTTTCCATTCATTAATATTACCGCCGGGTGTTGTGGTAAACAAATATCATACAGAAGTAGGTCCTCAAGCGCTAACAAAGTCTTTTGTTTGATGCAGCGAAATGATTTGCATATTTCCATATTTTCCACCCATTTTCCAACTGGCCTGTGTTGTCTAAATTGCCTTCAACTGAACGGAGACCCGAGACCTGAAGTCCAATTACATTGCGTGTATGGATCTGCAGATGGCCTCGGCCCTGGTCTTTTCCTCTTTTTTTTTTCAAAAGGAGTTCAAAGTCAAGAGCCGAGTCTGAGAGACCCACAATTCAAATCTGTTTTTGGCCCGTATTGTTATGGCCAAGTTGTGCTCTTTTTCTTGCTTTCTGGCCATTTCCTGGGCTCTAGTTAATGCCAACTTGTTGTTGCTATTGTTGGCTCTGTCAATTATTGGCACAGAATTTAGAATGCACTTGGCTGACCATAACCATAACCACAGAGCCACCCAAATCAAAGCCTCCTCCCCTCCCAATCCCCCTTCTTTTCTAGTTCTGCGTTGTCCGAGTAAAATTATGACAGAGTCCAAGAGCTGGCCATAGGAGTAAAAGCCACCAATTTCCGGTTACAGCTTGGTCTTTACTTAGTTTTTAGCTCGTTTTATGTTTTTTTTTCTCTAAGGCCAAAATCGTATTGTGGGAAAGGGTTACAGATTGTAATTTGTACTTAACTTAAACCGAAAATAGGAAAACTATCCTATGTTTCAATCTTAATCATGTGTCTTAAGAATCCGTTTGTATATAATATCTTAAAATAAGAAAATTTACATTATAATAATATTATAATATAAATAATTATACCCACACTTAAAATTAAAACCAAACTTAAACAGAACTTCAACTCGTATTTATTGGCTTAAATATATGAGTGATTTAGTACTTACACGAAGCTAAACTTAAGTTATTCTCTCTTTTGAGTAATGGAGAATGCCCATCCCATAAGTGACCATAAAACTAGAACCCCCTTCGTCTGCTACCTGAAGCCCCAGTGACCCCGCTTGGCCTCCTGCAGCCTCAGCCTGTCGATGGCCTCGAAGATCCTGGCTCGACGGGATAGCTCCTTATTGACAGCCAGCTTGTTTCGTTCCCATTCTGTGTCTTGTTCCTTTTTATATTGCGCCGAATTTCGGACAGTTTCATTCAATATCTTAGCACTCAAATTGGATTTCCAGGGCCTTCGGGTGGAGATCGGTCTGTTGTAAAACGCTGTGTGATTTGCCGGAAATAAGCTAGGTTTGATAAAAATTGCCACATAGCCAGGTCTTGAAACGTCCCGATCCTTGGGGAAGACACTGAAAATAGAGGGGAGGTATGTTTACAAAACGATTGCTTACTAATAAAGAAAACTAAATAAGAATTAACGCTATAATAGAGAACCATGACTATTAATACGTTAACCTGTTAAACAACTGCCATGCAAATATACCTCTAACAGGTGGCGCCACGGCAATCAAGAATATGTGGCGCCATCTGGCATTCGTTTATTTTTATCTACCAGCGTTAGGCCAAATTTCTAAATATCTCCTAATATAATTGTTTGATTTCAAAGATGTTAGATGATGATAGATGCTTACCGTCACAAAACAATTTTTCTAACTATTATATAATTTTCATACGCTTTACTCTGCGATTGAAGAGTATAAATATGATTATCCTTACCAGAAAAATCCCTCATACATCTCCTTCACCGTAAAATGACCCCACCAGCTGCCGAGGACCTGCAAGGGACACGATCGATTCCGTCCCGCATACGTACTCATCACCTTGCCCACGGACACGAACAGAAGCTCCGTGGTGTTGGCCTCCACCAACTCGGCCTTTCGCAACATGAACAGATCGTTGAAGGCCGAGATGACCACATCGTCGTACAGATTATAGACCAACTGGTTGTCCTTGTCCTGCCCGATGATCAGCATGGCCGTTCGCATGGAGTTCATGATGTGTGCCAGGGCCAGAAAGTTGATGTTAATGTCCTTGTAGTCCGGGGTCACATAGCCGAAGTACCAGTGGCGCAGGTGTATGCGTACTGGGAGCTCTATTCGCGTCATCAGCAGCCAAGGTCCTCCCCAGCTGTTTTTGAAGTTGCACAGGATCTTGGTGGGCAGGCCCCGATCTCGCTCGAGACTAATGCCAAACACCTCGTGCAGATCCATGTCCTCGCGGCACTCGGCCTGTGGGTAATCGAAGAATTCGGAGGGATGGGGTGTTACCGACTCCCAAGTCCTTGCAGGAATGACTTGAGGTAGGAGGTACTCTTTTGTTTCGTCCTGATCTTTGGGTGTGGTGTAGATATATGTTTTGATTTCCGGTCGATCTGTGAAGGGTGCCTCAGTGTTTTCCGTGATTACCAAATTCTCTTCGGGCATCTCAGTGTAAAGTTCTTGAGGGGGTTTTATAGATAAGTCATCTGTTTTCCCTTTATCAATTGCAGTCACCATTGCGGCCTCTGTGGTGATTTCAGTGGGTGACTCAGGAGTTTCATTTGTTGTGGGCCTTGTTTTTATCTTTTTTCTCGTTGAAGTTGTAAGTCTTAGCTTTGAAGTTGTTGACCACATCCACGTCTCGTCGGAATCACTCGAATCCATGTTTTCTACAGCGGGCTTTGAGTTATGGTGAGTCTCCCGCGAATGGTCAACTGAAGCCAGTTCAAGAGTATCCTTATCGCCGTGTTTCTTTTTACTGACTGGGTTATGTTTGGATTCCCCTGAATGCTCCAACGAACTGACCTCAAGAGTTTCTCCCTCGTTTGAATGCTCTAACGAACTAACCCCCGGAGTTCCTCCCTGTAATTCGTTATTTGGTGTGCCGTTGAATCCAAGTTGGGGTGCATTTATTCTGGAGGGCCCGTAGTTGTTGAAAACAAAGCTCATGTAGTACGTCTGGCTTAGGACAATCCACGGGAGAGTTGTCCACAGGCAGTAAATCAGCATGGCTACGCCCTTCAGCCTCACCAAACCCAGAGTGAAGGTCCGTATATGGCACCTGGGTTCCCTATATACCCTCGCCGTATTGGCTTGTGACCAATTCCATTAAATGGTTTCGGTTTATGCTGATTTCTAATGTGGTTCTAATCAATTTTCATAGAATTCGATGTGCACTTGTGGAGGTGCATCCATTAATTGATGTCACAGTTTAGTTTTTAGACACAACGATTGGTGACAACGATTCAATCCAAAATTAATGGTTTAAATATTAATAAAATCATTTTTATAATTCAAATATTTTAAAATCGTATTCTTCTAAAGTAAATGACGGCTTAAAATAAATAAATTATTCAATATGATAGTAAATATAACTAGCAGGAGCTCTAAGATTTAAAATTTCTATTACTGTCTTTGCATACAGATCTATACAAAAATAATACTGGTCTCATTTACTTATTACGACTTTCTATAGTCGTCCGATCATATCTTCTTCACTGACTTACAAACTTTTGACCAAAGTAATAATGTATTCTGCAAGAACAAGCTTTAAGTTAAGAATCTCATTGAACGAATATATATTAACAAATACATTTTTATTCATTCACTATTTTAAAGAGCTTAGGGGTAAGCCTGAAAGAAGTCCCTGACTTTGGTCACCCTTCAAATTACCACCCATGAAGTAAAACTTTGTTGGTGTTTAAATTTTATTGGCATTTTAATGATTAACTCAAATGAAGTGGCTGCGTCTTCCAAAAGTGCTCAAATTGACATCTCTGTTCTGGAGAAGAGACAGCGATTTAGTGAGCTGGTCAAGATCATTTTGCCCACGATCAAGGACTTACTGTTAGCTCTTCCGGTGTTGTTACATTTCCTCGTAGTCATCCTCCTTGCCTCTTGGTACTCCAGTTTCCGGCGCATCTTGCACATTGCCATCGAATTGACCCTCTTCTGCATCCACCCTCTTGGCTTCCTCTATTTGATCCTGGCGAGTCGGGCCCTCCGCGCTGCTGTCCCGGGGTCCGCTGTCCCGCTGGTTGGAGCCCGCTTGGCTGCCGGAGTGGCCGTGGCTCTCGCTGCTCTCGTAAATGGAGCGCACGTACCGCCCGCCGAAGCTGTCGTCGATGCTGATCTCGTAGCTACTGTGGTGGCTGTGATCGTTGCGCTTCCCCTCCTGGCTGTGCTCGTTCTGCTCCGCCCTCTGGCGCCGATCCTTGTCATCCTTGCTGTCGCTGTCATCATTATCATCGTCGCGACCGCCATTGTGCTCTTCAACGCCACTGATCCCGACGCCGCCGCTGCCGCCCTGACTATGGGGTTCCCCAGGGTCGTCGCCCCCTGAACCATGATCACCATCACCATGATCGTTTTCATCGATTCCGTGATCCCCAGGCTCCTCATGAGTAGTGTCGGCAGGGTGATGCTCTTCGATGGGCCCATCCGTCGGCCCGCTCTCATCCATGCCGGGCGAGTGGGGCGGACCCTCGTGAGATCCTCCAGGAGGACCGCCGGGACCGCCACCAGCGGCACCACCATCTCCGCCGCCGCCCTCTGCGTCCGGGTTATTGTTGTTGAAGGCAAAGTTCATGTAGTACTTCTGGCCCAGAACGCCGTGCTCCGGCAGATGGCCGATGGCCAGCAGGACCAGGTAGCCGGTGAGTAGCCGTGTCCGCATCCGCCACATCGCTGCAACGCTGAGCTGCCCGGGCTGGCCGACCCTCCCTTATATATAGAGATGACCGCAGTCGCCCGGAATCGAATCGATTTGGTTTTGTCTTTGGCTTCGGCCGTGGCTGCCCTCGCCCATTAAAAAGGGGCAGCCCGATAAAGGCGTGTCCAAAGGGGGCATCTGGTCGGGAGCACCAAACAGTGGCAGTTGTTAGTCCCAGTTGCAGCAGTGCAGCAGCAGCAGCAACAGCAACAGCAACAGCAGCAGCAACATCAGCAGCTGCCGCGGAAACAGGTTGGCCCCCGTCGAAGAGAGCTACGTGGAATTCAATCAGGGCCAATCTATAATAGAAATCTCATGTGGCGCGAGCTTCGTTTTGCCCAAAGGGGAGTTTGCAGCAGCAGCAGCAGGGGGCGTGGTAGTGGAGATCAGCTCGAAGGAGGAGGAGGGGAAATGGAGATGGGACAGGGGTGCCCACTCTCTGCCCACTTTCAATCGATCGTGCGTTGCAAATATGAAAATGCTACTGCAGCGAGCGGCAGCCAAGTCAGGCAGCTTTGGCTAAAATCGTTTTTCATTAACAATTTTAAAAGCCGCGCATTAATCACAAGTACATATACACACGCAGAACAGAATGGAGAATGAAGAAAAATACAGAGTGCCCTGCACCTAAGACTGCTCGTAGATGGTGGGCCAGCATGTTAAAAAATACTCTGATATATGGGTTTTACACAAATAAGTATTAGAAAAGTTTGAAAATTATTTTGAAAAGCACTATTAAATTGAATAAAGGTGTTAATAAAAGGTGTTGTTATCAATTTATATATTTTTATCAAACCTAAAAAAATAAATAAATAAAATGCTTTAAGGTATTCAACTACTAATTTTTAATAATAACGCACTTACGAATAAATGTGTGTAATACTTTCTCACTTTAAAAACAATAATTGGCCAAATCTGTTTTAAATTAAGAACCCGTTTTTGACCCATTACGAACCACCGTGCAAGTGGCCATGAAGCCCATTAATCTGCAGACTCTTGCGAAGACACCCCACTAATTCTCTCTTTGGCTCTCTTCTCGTTGCAGTCGTTTCGTGATCAGTCCATCGATGGCACTGGCCTGCCGCTCTTAACCGAGGATCACTTGGTCAACTCGCTGGGCATGAAGCTGGGGCCGGCTCTCAAGCTGCGCTCCATATTGGCGAAGAAATTGGGCGGGCCGTGCCCGTGTGTTGCATGCGTTGCGCAGGCGCAACAAATGCTGGCACTGCAAACGGGTGGGGCAGCACCAGCAGCAACAGCAGCAACAGCAACAGCAACAACAGCAGCAGCCACAACTAGTTGCAGCATTAAGTCGGAGATATTTAATGGCGGCAGCAACGGCAGCAGCAGCAGCAACAGCAATCAGGGCAGCGATATTGCAGCTACGCCAGCAACAGCCAGCTCGCCCAGCAGCAACATGTTGCTGCCAGTGTTGCCGTGCAGCAACCTGCACGACGCCAGCTAGTTATCAGCGGTCCACATAAATATTTATGCTACAAAAATTGCATTTCAACTGCAAAACTGCTGTACCAAATGAGCTTTCAAAAAAAAACACAAGCAAATCAGATTGGAGAGAATACCTATTGTATAAATTAAACAATAAATTTGTAATTTAATGGCTAGCTAAAGTTGTAAACTTTAGGTGACGACAACAATAATCGCAAAGTCTTCCATTTGCACACATACACACACAAATCATATTTGTATAATATTAATCAATTTATTAGTCAATTTATTGAGAGACATTTCGTTTACGTACTTAAGTGCAAAGCGCATTTTGCATTGATTTTATTTATTTCTATGACATTTTTTCGTTTTTAACTGCTAGTCAGTAAATATATATTTAATAGAATTCCGCAAAATGTGAAGCAAACTTAAAAATTCAATTTTAATGTTTTGCAAATTGAAGTAAAAGGCTATTTATTTTGTATAACCTACGATACGGCAGAATTGTTGAACCCCAAGGCTTTGTTCAAATTTTATTAATTTATGTTTACTTTTTCTGCGGCCATGCACAGAGGAATTCAAAATTCAACTTTTAGAACTATGCATCCTTTTAAGAGCTCCAAGACTTGAAACACACACCACACACACAAACGAAAACAACAAGAAACAAATAGAAAACGTATTTTATAGCTCCATTGTACATATTGTTTATTTAATTAGTTGTAAGTCATATAGAGAGACAGAAAAACATTTTCTAACACCTAGGCCGTATGCAATGAACTTAAAGAAACAGAAGCATATTTCTACAAAATAGGAATGAGAATGAACTTGATTTATTATATACATTTAATGAACTATAGCTATTTTTCACAAGCTGAAGCAAATAAATTATACCAGTTATCATACAAACAAAAAACTAGTCTCGCGGAATATTTGTGGCAGCAGGTAGCAAGTTGTAAGTTGCAAACTGCAGCTCCCTGGGCATCGGGCTCCTCATTGTGGGGCGTTATGGGCACGCGGCTGACCTCCGGACCGCTCGATGCGTCGCGGGTCAAGCGGAACCGTTGCGCCAAAAGGCAACCAAGGATGGCTGCAAAACAATTAAAAGCACGCAGCGAACCTCCAGCGTCTAATTACAAATTGGAGTCATTGAATTTATTAAAATCGGCCGCGTAAATTGTGCAGCAATGCACTTGAGACACGCGAGCTGATATTGTGGGCCATCGGCGCTTCTTGGCTCCCATTACTTGGTCATAACTCACTGCGCCCGTCCGGTTCAAGTATCCCTAGCCTCTAAAAAGCCCATAACGCCTAGTCGGTGAACCCCTTCTGCTTTCTTTCAGAAGTATATCTGCTTCACTCGTGTACAGCAACTCCTTGATTTGAGATCCGACAGCAAGGTCTGCCTGTTTCACTTATTACACTTATAATTACCTGAGTGTTTGTACATATACAAACGGTAAGTTGATTAACATCAAGTTCTAACCAATTATATTCTTTATTTTTTGTAAGGTTTTCTAGAGTTAGGGAAAGCAAACACAGTTTTTTTTAATGTTTCCTTTGAAGTCATACATCTACTAGATATATTACTCAATATATGATTGTAATCATAAAAGTTTTTAGTTTAAAAATGGATCAGAAAATTTCTTACAAACCCTTGACCAAAAAAATTTATGATAGATCAGGGTTTCAAAAAACTAAAAAGGCCGAAGCAAAGAAAATACCTTGGAGACGTTTCAATTGTTTCAATATTGTAGTGTTATCGCTGTCGATCTCTAAATACTTTCAGCTGCAAAGTTTCAAACGATATATGTAATTACAAGATGGAAAGCATAGTTTGTAGGCAATATCGTGCGATGTGTAGTTACACATCGGCTTAAATGCAAAATCCGTAAGTTTTTGATAAAATCATATTTTAATTGAGGGTTAATAAAATTTTGAATTCGATCCAGTCAAAATTATTCGGAAATCGAATGTTCAAAACACATATCATATAATCGGATTTCTAATAACTCTATTAAAACATTTTGTTTGTTTGTATTTAAGTGATAACAATTTTTCCACCCAAGTGCATGGCCTATAATAGCGAACCGACGAGTTTTAATTTAGCTAGTAATATCAATGCCATTAAATCTTACTTTTTCAAAGAAATTACGAATTATACAAATTTTTCGTTCTTTATGATAAAAAGCTGTCTAGATCTACACCCTAATCCATAAAAAAAATAATCTTAATAAGCACGAAGCTAAACAGAGAAACAAACCAATGGCAATATTGGATTTTTATTAGTATAATGGCCGCCTTTAAATGACAAGCATATACACATACTTAAACATTTTTCTCTTAAGCATACTGGATTATGAAAGGCCTAGGAAATATTGGCCCAAAATACGATGTGCTTAACATTATGGTAGTTTGTCCTCTACGTGGCAATGGGAGTGGGAGCCGCAGCCTCCGGTTCGGCAGCCTTTTCCCCGTTGCCGTTCTGCGCCTTGGCCGCCGGTAGATCCTTGACGCCCGTGGAACCGAATCCTCCCTCGCCGCGTTCGGTGTCCTCCAGTTTGTCGACCAGCTCCAGTTCCGGATAGAAGATGCGCTCGCAAATGAACTGAGCGATGCGGTCGCCGCGCTTCACCTCAAACTCCACGTCCGAGTGATTGAACAGAACGACGCCGAGGTTGCCGCGGTAATCCTCATCCACCACACCGGCGCCCACATCGATGAAGTTCTTCACGGCCAGTCCGGACCGTGGGGCCACACGGCCGTAGGAGCCCTCCGGAACCTGCACCTGCAGGTCGGTCTTCACGATGGCCTTTCCCCGGGCCGGAACCACCAGGTCGTAGGCGCTCCGCAGGTCAACTCCCGCCGCCTTGGCAGATCCCCTCACCGGCTCCAAAGCATTTTCGGTCAGTTTGGCGAATCGCAGGACGCACTTGTCGATCTTCATCTTTTTGGCAGCTGGAATGTCGTCGAAATCGATTGATGGCATCTGGAGCGGGTTAGATTTATTAAGACTGGGTCAAATGACTGCACTTCTTCCAATTACTTGCAAAAACCTGGTCTGAAATGGCGCGGTCTAAGCGTCGATTTGCAAAATTGGCGGAACCAAGTGTTGCCAGGTTCAGTATGACAAAATTAGGCAAAATACTATAATAAAATCTACTTTTTGGTACTTTTTTTAAGCCACTGTACAGATCATAAAGTTCAATATTAGTATTTTACAGAATCGTAAAATTTAAAATTAATGCTCCTTAGAGATTATAGAAAACCCTAGTAAATATGTATTCTACTTTAAATCCAACGAAAAATTACTAAAAAGTTTTGAATAAAATATTACAAAATAATGGATTTCTTGGCTAAGCAGCGCCGGTCACACTTGGCTTTAGCACGTTGTTTTGAAAAATCCACCTGATCTGCCAATGTTTTGATAACTCTACTTTGCAGAAATGGCAAATACATATTTCGATGAATATGAGAACCTTGAGGTAAGCTTCACAGACTTTCATTATTCATAACTGACAATGACCATATTTGCAGATCCACGAGCTCATGCTTAAGGACCGGCCTCGACAAGCCGCCTACTACAATGCGATTTTGGGAAATAAGGATTTGTTTAAGGACAAGATCGTAATGGATGTGGGAGCCGGCACTGGAATTCTTTCCGCCTTTTGTGCGAAGGCGGGCGCACGTTTGGTCTATGCCATTGAGGCATCCAATGTGGCCACCAAAGTTGCCCTGGATCTGATCGAAGATAATGTTCTGACGAACGTTGTAAAAGTGATTCAATCGCGGGTCGAAGAATTCGTCCTGCCCGCCGATGCAGAAAAGGTGGACATCATTGTTTCCGAGTGGATGGGCTTCTACCTGCTGCATGAGGGCATGCTGGACTCGGTTCTCCTGGCCCGGGACAAGTTCCTCAAGGAGAACGGGCTCCTGTTTCCCAGCGAGTGCACCATTTTCGTGGCGCCCTGTTCAGTGCCATCGCTCTTCGACGATTGGAACGATGTGGATGGCATTAAAATGGACACTTTCGCCAGCAAATTGCGCGTCCAGAAGTCAGCCAGACCGGAGATTACGCATTTGAATCCGGAAGACCTTCTGCACGAGGGCGTCGTCTTTCACTGGATGAATCTGCTGGATGTGCAGCCTGAGGAATTGGACAGCATTCAGTTCAAGGAGGTGGTGACAGCCCAGAAGGCTGGTAAGCACCAGGGCTTCTGCATTTGGTTTGATGTGCGATTTCCCGGAGAAGACTCAGTTCTAAGCACATCGCCGCACTCCCCGCCAACACATTGGAAGCAGTGTGTAGTCGTCCTGCCCGAGGAATCCTGCGAGAATCTGGAGGAGAAATCACCAATTGCATTTCAAATTACCATGAAGCGCAGTGCGTCCGACATGCGGAAATACAATTTGGAGGTGGATCTGTTGGACCCCAACACCGAGGAGCACCCAGTGCCATGCTCCTGCCACATGACCAAATGCATTTTGACGGAAGCTCACTTAAAGATGATGGACACTTCTTGATTTCGTTATTTCTGGGATAATTGCAAACAAACTGTGGGGGAATCAATTTATTTAACATGTTTAATACAAATACAATATATATCTCAGTCAAACTTAACGTCTAGTCCAGCAATTTCAAATTCAATCAAAATTAATATTTTAAGCTGCGATGGGGCTTCAAACCAATAACCGCTGTAGCCGACTTTGAAGTTCCTTGAGTGAATGCTGAAGACGATTGGTGTCCGGCTTTTGGTAGCAAATATTCAAGCAGCCCGCTACTATGTCTTGGGCCTTGCCAATAATTCGTCTTCTGCAAAACAAATACCAATGTAAGTTAACCCAATCAGCTTGATTTTCCAATCTCTGCACTTACTTTGAGCGGTACCAAATGGATTGTGCGTTGTCTGCGAGGAGGGAGACCACCCGAATGGCGGATTGGATTAAATGCCACTCATTGCCTTCATTTGCCCAAACTCGTTCGTTCATTGAAATCATTCTGAAATATTTTTCAATTAATTACCCTTGAATCATTCAGTTTTCTTCACACTTTTCATTACTTTCCAATTGGATTTTAGATTAACTTGAAACATTTACAAGAAATACGTGAATTTGACAAACCTCGAGTAGTATTCCAGGAGCAGTTCAACGTCTAGATTCATGGTTACTAGTTTTTCCGGCACTATTCCCTCGGGCAGGCGCAGTTGGCAGGCTTTGATCTCCAGCTCTCTTATGAGGAAAGCAAAGGGAAAGCAGGCTCCCGATTCGCCGTACTCCCTTACCAAGAGTTCGATTTTCGTGAACAATCTGTTGCATCGATCTTGGGTTGAGCCTGGCTCATCCACAACGCTATTTATTATGTTACCCCAGACCGACTCGATCAGAAGGGGATCGTTGTGATGGGAACAGTTTAATATGGACAATTGGCACTCCCACAGATCGAATGGCTCTGCAAAGTGCTGATAAAGCTGTGTGATATCGTACAGCGAATAATTTAACTCTTTTACAGCCGTGGCGGCCTCCAGCTTATTGCAAGCCAACTCTGTCATTGCGACCAGCACTGCCTTTTGAACTCGTGCGATATCCAGCTACATTTTTGAAATAGTTAAATAAATCATTTTCCAGAAAATAATTCGTATATATTACCTTGTCTTCCAGTTCTTTCAGGAATATTCCATTAGTTAAAGAAGAGCCAACATTCCCATTTCGCATACACATAACAGCACGCACCAAATACTCGATGCGCTGTTCCAGAATTATGTTTTCACTGCGTGTCATAGCCAAGTTGTCCAATATATGGGCTGCCTGGGAATGATGGCCATTCTTTTCGTAATACTTCCACAACAAATCGATCAGGACAACGTTCTCCCCATTGCGCGAAACACTGCGGCGCAAGAACTCTCCCAGCGATGGCTCGACCACGTCCAAAAGCTCGCTGAGCATGTCGTGGGCGAGCAGCCATTCGTAGAGAGTAACATGGATCAGGGGGTCCTTTACCCGCAGGGTCTGTGCCACAATTTTAGGGATGGTTAGTTTTGCTGCATTTGTCGCATCGGTGGCTTTGGCAGCATTTTTGAGTTGACCAGGCGATTGCGTTTGGTCCTGAATGTGCGACTTGTTGCATGCAGTCTGGTAGATATGGTCCAGCATAAGTTGCACTTCCTTGTAGTAGGTCATTCTACAGTTAAAAGTTTAGTTGGTAAATTATTTATATAAACCAAACTGTCTAAAAAACTAAAGCAAAACCGATTTAGTTCAGGCGAAATTAAATGTTAATGTTAAATATGTTACACATTTCCAGAAACCTTAATCAATATAGTTTTAACTCTTGAAAAAGGACAAACGGCTAATTCGATTCGGTTGATGATCTTTATGAAATAATAAAACTCTCTGCATAAGTATAAAATCACGAAATATCTTACCTTGTGGCAAAGCAAGTGTAACCCTCGCGGTCTTCAGCTGGTTCCCCGTTATTGTAGAAGTGGACGCCAACCTCCTCCGGGTCACTTTTTGATGCACACACGGCCGAAAGCTCGATTACGCCCTCGAAGAAGTCAGCGGAAATGAACTGTTGGCAAATACTATGCAGTGGCAGGGTTGGAGCAGCTTCCTTGCACATTTGCAGGGTGGTTCTCAGCTTTTGCTCCTTTTCGGTGGGCGAAGTACAGTTCTTGGCATTCATTAACAACTCGGTGGCTTTGTAAGTCACATCATCCTCATGCCTGTATATATTAGGACAATTCTCACGCAAGTTCATGGATACTTCGGATACTCCCGCCTTGTCCTTGAGGTACAGATTAATCAGTGAAATGATCAAGAATGCGCAGACCTCAGAACGTGTGAGGAGGAGGTCACGGAAGGTACAGCACTTCAACATCTTCTGATGTTCGGGGCTGAGTTGCAAGCAAATAAGTTGAAAGGAGTGCGAGTTTAGAATGCTCCAAAGTGATATAACCTCACAAGCGTGTTCTGCGAATAAATTTTGTGATTAGTTCTCTCTCTATTATAATATTATAATTGTACTTACTGACAAAGAGGTTAAGAGCTGACAGTGATCGTTTTTCTTCGACTTGAGCCTGCTCTGTCAAAATCCTTTGCTCAGACATTGGCAATAGACTGTTGTTCATCATAATGGTGTTATAGGAACTGGTTCTTTCCAAATGGGGGTCGAACGAGACTCGGGTAGACGCTAAAACAAACAATAAAGTTTTTTAGTTATGTGACCATAAATAAATGTTTCGTTTCTTAAAAGTTCAGATCACGTTTTTAAAACTCGGCTAATCGACTTCGACAATCAAATCATATTTAATTTGCACGACTTACAGGAAATATCGTGCACAGAATGTACTTCCAGGAAGCTGCGCAACGATCGCAGATCTGATTGCAAAAGGGCACAATCGCTATGACTCAGATTGGAGCAAAAGTTCTCATTTACACAAGGCAATTGCCAAATTGAACGCAACATCCGGGAGACATACAAGTATAGTCCGTCGTGTTTGGCCGAAAACACGATCGATGAATTCTCGTTACTAACAGCTTGTGAAGGTTGCATATTTCCAACTGTAATGTATACATATTATTTGACTATTCCACCTCAAGAAGCTAGTTGTACTTACTTGGACTGATGGGCTGATTGAACTGTGATCCAGGATAAGACACAGGACTGTTTGCCGCTGTATTTGGCATTGGCGTGGACATGAACATGGGTTGGCGCTCCCTTCCGGTAGTGATATTTGGACCTATTGTTTGATTCCCCAAGTTGCGGTTATTAGCGTTTAGGAACTTTTGATGCTGAAAGCACGGCTCCCCGCCGTACAACATGAACGCCTGGGTGGCCCACAAGGCGATGTCTCCGCCACGATATTTATCCGAAGTGGCCAGCAACAGGGCGGTGACACACGCCTCTCGCTGATTTTGCGACTGGAAGAACAGCTTAACTTCCTCGTGGTGCGGGCCATTACACGATAGCAGGATCTGGCGCAAAACGTCGACCATTTTGAGCAGCTCTATTATGTGTGTGCCCTGGTTGGTGAGTAGCGCTACCTTGCGGGAGTGACGTGCACTGTTCAAGGGAGATTTTAGGAGCGGCGTCGACGGTTCATGCACCTCGGCCAAGCCCCATACCACTCCATCCAGACTCTCGAGAGCTGTCGACTCCACCAAGTAAGTGAAATTAACCGATGGAGCCGAGCTGACTGACCAGAGCAGATCCTGCTCCTGTTGTTGCGTGGTGATCATCAGCATGGTGCCCTCCGTGTAGTGGGCGGCATGGACCTGCTTGGGCTTATTGGTGGTGGCGTTTGGCGTGTAGCCGGGCGGTAGGCGCACGTGAAGCAGATAGAGCCCCTTCGGTGAGTCGGCTCCGGCTGGCAATGGGCGCTGCGTTGCTGGCTGACCGAATCCTGTACTCTCTGCCTGGGTACAGGCCGCAGTTGGACCGAATTGGTGCTGCACGTTTAGCGACGTTGTGGAGAAATAAAGCCGCACACCGCATTGCGTCACAGCCACAAGATGCAATTTGCCGGCGTCATCGGCGTTCAGGGGGCAGATGGCTTTGACACTTTTGAAAATAGAAGGGTCCACAGTTCTAAAAAATGTAATAAAGAAGGAGAAAACGTTAGCATGCATTCATTGATTTCTTCTCATTGTTTTCCTATTTAAGCAAACTTATATCAGTAGAACTTGCACATACGTGATTAGACTAACTGCTTGGTTCGTAATATCATTCTGGGTGATTCGCCCCAGCCTTCTCGCGTTCGTATAATCCGTGCTGATGTCCCACGCTTCAATCGAACCTCTTTCCGTCAAAACGTAAAGAAGCTTGCGGCTGTTATCAATCTCTATACGCTCGATTGGATCGACTTCCTGCAAGGAAAACACTCTTAATTAGTCACTGCATTAATAGAAGGAAGGCGAATGGTTACCGAAAAAACTTTAAGGAAGCTGGGAACCATGTAGGAGACCAGTCCTTGGGAGAGATTTATCTTCTTGCAGCGTTTGCCGAACCAACTGGACTCCGCCTGGTAGAATACCTCATAGAGGCAGCCGTCGCGGCCGCCCAGAAAGATGCGTCCGTCATCCGTTCCCTTGATGACGCTGATGGACACGTTGTCGGTGCCGATCACGAAAATGGGTCTGTTCATCAGCTGCATTTCGCTGTACGAGCTCTCGCCGAATGTTACGCCCAATACAATGACCTCGATTGGCGTGGTGAGCAGAAGGAGGTACTTGACATCTTGGACAAAAACGCCGGCTTTAGGTTTCACCAGGCCGACGCTTACGATTAAATGGCTCAATCCGTCGTAGTAGGCCACATCCCGCGTCTGAGTGAAGGTCCAAATGTAGATCTCCGAATCGATGGTGAGCCAGGCGCGACCAATCTCCGGAAAGAGGCCCATGGTGCAGTGACATTTTATGTCTTTACAGTTTTTAAAGTTAGAGATTAGAACGGAATGTTCCAGGTCAAAGGAGGTACGTACGCTTGAAGTGCTCCAGGATCTCGTTGGGAATTGCCGATTTGGTCACAGTCCGCAGTTGTTGTAGGTTATGTGTTTCCTCGGATTTCAGAAACGACAGGCTCTGGTAATCGTAGTCGTTGAGCCCACTCATCGTGGCTCGTCCATGTTGACTAACGCCAGTTAACTGCAGAGAAATTAATCCTTAGTCCTCTCAAAGGCGGGCAAACATCCGTATCAGTGGTACTCACTTCCAGCAGACCCGGCTTATTTCTGTCCAGATTGTCATGCCATTCCAGCATACTTCCCGCCGTCAAAAAAAAGTCGAGCTGTGCTTGCGGAGCAGACATTGTGTACAACTATACTAGGCGGGTCAACTCGGATGCTAAAAATCTTTTAAAATCGACTAAAACAAATATTTTAAGAAAAAAACTGATCTGCAATTTTCGGCCGGCTGATGCTGATGTACCCACGCTCCCGCCTTCTGCTAGTGATGACATTTTTTGAACCGAATGTGTCGGCACTAGTCATCCAGTGCTGCCCATAATGTCCTGTTCGTTAAGGGTGTTCGATGACACTGAAGACTAAATGAATTTGTATTTGTAACCAGTTTCGATTAACATGGCTTATATTTATGGTTTTCCATAAACGAATTTATATTAATCGAGCATGTTGAATTGTAAAGCAGCTAGCCAACAAAACTAAATTAATGGCTGTTTCTACAAACCCGAAAACAATCGTTAGTTGAATGTTTTATTTTATAATGTTTAGTAGTTTCTGAAATTTCTTATGTTGAATTTGAAAGCTTACCGAAATTATGCATTTCGTTTTCTAGCAAAAGAATCCCCTGAGGTATTTGATAAATAATGGTTAGTTCAAATTCATATAAAACGAGAATATTAACAAAATCGAAGTTAAAGTAAACTCTTCACTGTAAATGTTTATGCTTATGCAAAGCCTATAACAGTGTTCGAAATATTACAGAATATTATGTTACACAGTGAATAGGTTATTACGCAAAAAAGATAAAACTGTAATTTTGCAATTTAAACAATCTAAAGCTCAAGTTTTTAAAAACGTTTTTCACAAAATTTTCGGTTTAAAAATTTTTTTACATTTATTTATTTGGCGCCTAACAGCACACCGCGACCTCGTCAACAGCACGCAGACTGCACATGGCGCTGTATTTTAGCCCGTTTTGTGCGCCTGATGCAGCCACATTAAATTTCCCTTCTTTTCTTTTCCCCGTTTCCGGTGAGTAGTGTGTTCCGCGTTTTATTTTTATTGAAATTTTAACCCAAAATATCTTTTAATCAACGTATTGCAGCGAGGAGTCCATCCAGAATTTGTCTGATACAAACGAGGGACTAACGGAGCGTAAGTTTTGTGTCAAACATGCTGCACTTCCAAACATCGAAATGAATAATTTACGCGGATGCCAATTGGCAGTGTGGCACCAAAGCCGCCGTTTTATTACAAGTGCGGCATCCGCTGTGATGGATTATCCTAATTAAATAAAACATGTTCTTGTCAAGAGTAAATTATGCGGGTCGCTGTTTGGAAAACTCTTTATAACTACCTCTAAAATCGACTTTAGTAATAAACTAAATTGTTTTTACCGACAGTGCCATCAAGATGCGTACCATCAATTCCAACCAGTGCGTGAAGATCCCCAAGGATATCAAAGCCTCTGTGAAGGCCCGTGTGGTCACCATCACCGGCACCCGCGGCACCCTGAAGCGCAGCTTCAAGCACCTGGCCCTGGACATGTACATGCCCGACAAGCGCACCCTGAAGGTGGAGAAGTGGTTCGGTACCAAGAAGGAGCTGGCCGCCGTGCGCACCGTCTGCAGTCACATCGAGAACATGATCAAGGGTGCGTAACATGGGGAAAACAAAACAAAAACACCTGTAGGTTTCTTAGTAATCTCTTGTCGCCGATAGTGAAATCCTACAAACCTCTTCTATTTTGAATACATACAGAAGTGACCTTTAAAACACAGCCAAAGTTTGGTTCTAGTTCAACCATTAATAGTCTTCCGACTTAAAGATATCCGTTAATAGTTTTCCGACAAAAAGATATCGGCTATTTACTAACCTACTACTAAAAAATTTACTTTACTACTAAAAAATTACACAAACTAAAGATCCTATTCCAAATATATATTATTTAAGCAAAACTATTATTTAAGTTTCATAACTTGTGATGCTAACAAAAATCTGAATGAAGTATCAATTCAATTACTCTCGTAGTTACCGAGATTTTGACAGACAGACAAATTTGGTCAGATGAATATGTGGAAAAGATTCCTGCTGCATATTAATGACCAGTGCACCGATATAATGTATCCTTAATTGTAAACTAAACAATTATATTCTCTATTTCTAGGAGTCACGTTCGGCTTCCAGTACAAGATGCGCGCCGTGTACGCCCATTTCCCCATCAACTGTGTCACCTCCGAGAACAACACGGTCATCGAGATCCGTAACTTCTTGGGAGAGAAGTACATCCGTCGTGTGGAAATGGCAGCTGGCGTCACCGTTGTCAACTCGACTGCCCAAAAGGACGAGCTCATCGTGGAGGGAAACGACATCGAGTCGGTCTCTGGATCTGCCGCCCTCATCCAGCAGTCTACCACCGTCAAGAATAAGGATATCCGTAAATTCCTTGACGGTCTGTACGTGTCCGAGAAGACGACCGTTGTGAAGCTAGAGTCTTAGACTTTTATAATGTGTTTCAACCTAAAATGTTAATAAAAAACCAACGGCCGAAACTTTCAATAAGAAAACTAGTGTCTGACACTTCTGTATAATATATTTCCCATATCCTCGTTCACATCGACAAAAACCTAATGATACTATAAATGTATTAAATCTAGTGATCCTTTAAAAGAGCTACTTTCTCCGGGGCCATTATTTTTTTTAAATCTTGCTGTGGACTGCGACTAAAGTCGCATTTAAAATAAATTGTCTGTATGATTTTGTTCAAATTTAATTTATTCATTAAGACTAATAGAAAGGTGTTTGATCAGCATCAGTAGTACTGATACCTTTTTGAGTCTTTTTGGAGTGGTTCAGTTTTTCGTTTCCCATGATTTTTTTTAAAAAACTAAACGCCATAGATGTTTTTAAGCCTAGCTTACGTTTCTATAACGACTTTCAATTTCGAGAAAACTTAAAGGCTTAACATAGCTATAGGAACAATCGAATAATAATTTGAAACTCCTCGAGTGCGTTTGGTATTTCTATTGATGTTGCAATTTTGAATATATTATTTTTTAATAGCTGTTATTATTTTCCATAACCAAGTGAAATAAAAAAAAAATTCTTACTCCATCCACAAATTTCCGGAATGGCAAAACCTGGCGGTGCCAAAATGTCCCACTTAGTTCTGGATTAGCGTTCCTAACCGCACGTTTCTATACGATATTTAGGCGATGGTTTTTCCGTGCAACCATAAAATATTGGCGCAAAAGAATTTAAATGTTCACGTTTTGGTAGTCAAGAAAGTGGCGACTTGGGAGATTTACTTTTCCTCAGGCGGCACATTTTTCCCATTTTGTGAGATCAAATTGTTCATGTGCTTATGGTTAAAAATGATAAGCGTAAATCACTTTTTTTATTTGGAGTTAAATTATAATTTGGCTACGATTGCAATCCCCTTCATAAATTTCTAAAAAAGTAATTAATCTTTTTTCAGTTATTTGAGGACAGTTAACGTGACACTCGATTTATTTCCTTTTAAACTGAGATGAAACCATTTGTCTTTGGTTTTCTGACGTCAAACAACGCCTGTTAGTTTATGATTACTGTGCTTGCCCAACAAGTAATTTTTTTTAGGTAAATATAAAGTAATTAAAAAGAAGGAAATGGGCTTTAAAAAATTCTTACGTTAATATATAACGCAAAGTTCTGAAAAAAATAAAAAAATCGATCTTATTCAATGAGCTTTTTATATTCTTAGGGCACCAACTATCCTCGCCGAACTCTCTTCTTCAATACATGTAGTAATCTTAATACTTAAAAACATGAAACTGTAATTAATTGTTTATTTCTCATATTAAGTATGAAAAACGCAAGTATTTGCAATCAAAAATGCAAATCTTTGCAAATGTGCTTAACGATTAAGTATTTATCGAAAAAAGCGCAACCGATAACCGCAGGAAATGTATGTATCAGCCCTGGGCGGTTGAAAGGTCCCGTTCGTTTCCGTTTTCTCATTCATTGGCCCGGAATTTGTGAAGCGTGCTAGCAGCTAGCACCCTAAACTAGAATTTCCAACTGAAAAGTGAAAATAGTAGTTAAGAAGGAATACAAGTAAAAATTAACTTATAGAAGAAATAAAAGTGAGAAATGAATTTGCCTCCAAACACTGGAACTGCTCGAGGACGGGGTCGCGGGCTAAAGAGCAAGGAAGAAGCAAACCGCGGCTTGGGTCCCCAACTGGTAAGAGCTTTAGAGTAAAAAATTTTGTAAAATGTTTCCGATTCAATAAATCTTAAAACTTTGTTGTTATATGTTTCCACATATATTTATTAATCATCCGTAGTGTTTTGAGAAGCACTGCTTTGGTAATGTTAATATCAATTACAATTTTGCTTTATCTTGGTGTACAATCTGCAACATTGATGCTAGTCTTACATACTAGCATATCTGCATATGTTTTTTCGGACCATTCATGAAAACACTTGTGTATGTGTGTATATACATATGTATGAATTTACCGATATGTTACAGTCCCTTTCCCATAACTTAAAACCATACTTGGTACTTAAAAAACAGAGACCAATAAATTTACTTTCGAATAACAACCACTTTTTTTTAATACAAATTGTGCTCAGTTTTTAATTGAAACCATTTATGCGAATATCGTTTTCAATTCGAGAAAATTCGCAACTGTATGTGAGTCCTATTACCAATACCGTCGCATGTTTATACTTTTGAGTGGTTTGGTTGTTTGTGCGAAAATTAATCCAGAGCGAAGAATAAATGATGACCACGCAGATCAAATAAAACACAAGCATACATACGTAATAAAAAATGTTTGCAGTATAGCTGCATTTGTTTTGCTTGTTATAAATGTTTATGCAAGTTTAGGCACCACTTAAAAAGAAGAAAGAAGCTGGTTCAAGGCTGCGTAGAATTTCCGCATGGTATGTAGGTCGCACATTGCCTATTGGAATGTAATGGAATCGGAACGGCTATAAAAACGGTGTTTTTATACCCTTGCAGAGGGTATTATAATTTCAGTCAAAAGTTTGCAACGCAGTGAAGGAGACATTTCCGACCCTATAAAGTTTATACATCTTGATATATAGAGTCGATTTAGCCATGCCCGTCTTTCCGACCGTTTATACGCAAACTAGTCCCTCAGTTTTAAAGCTATCTGCTTGAAACTTTCCCAGAAGTTGTTTTTCTATTTCATTAATTTAGCATTTTTTCTTTTTATCAAAATATTCCTTTGAGATTTAGTAATTATTTACTATATCAGAATAACGCTTTTAGTTTTGTCAAAATCGGACAACAATATATGCCATAGAAATGATTTGAAAATGCAGTGCAAAATGGACATAGCTTCATTATTTTTGGTAATATAGTCATAGAAATCGAAATGTGTTCATTTTGTAATAACTGCCAGGGTATATAATCTTGCCGAAGTTGGCTTCTTTTCTTTATAATACAAACGAAAAAAAATGGTTTATTTCAGCAAACAGCATGGAATTTGGAAACTAATTTGTATTGCCTAGTTTGCAATAATCCAATTATTGTTGTGGGACCTACAGACTTTTCATTAATCTATATAGTTGGTATATATGTATATAAGAAAACGCTTGGAATAGTACCATGTTGATGTTTTTTAATACTATTAGCACAATATTTACTTTTTTATATTTTGGTTTACCTTTTATGAAAGTTATTATTAGTTTCAAAGTTATAAACTAAAAATAAACTAAATTTTTTTTTATTTTTAAGGTGATATTACCGACATAGTATGCGTTAAAAAAAAAAACTAAAGCTAAAACTTTAACCAATAACAATATTTTCTTACAGGGCCGGTCTTCTCATTCTTCTCAATCGAGTAAAAATGAAGCCTCTGGAGGTCAAGGAGCCAGTGATGCACCACCTAGAAACTTGCAGAAGTCGGATCGCAGCTCAGAAACCAAGTCGGGCGAGGCTGAAGTTCAAAGCTCTGAGAGTGAGTGGTCTTATGTATTAATACTTTCGGTTATTTTTAAAAAGAAGTCCCTTATTTAAATTAAACCAGGTGATCCTCGTGGCTCTGTGCGTGGTCGTCGCTTGATTACGGATGTAGTACACTCCCGTCCCCAGGGACTGATAACAAAAAATGGAGTGTCTGGAAACAAAATTACTGTGCAGACAAACTATTTTAAAATTTTAAAACGCCCAAACTGGACCATTTACCAGTACCGCGTGGATTTTGTGCCGGATGTTGACAATACGCGTTTACGTCGGGCATTCGTAAACGAACATCGTAGCATTTTGGGGGGCTACATATTTGACGGTACCGTTTTATTTTGCACGAATCAATTTAAGCCAGTCCAAAATAGCCCCTATGTTCTGGAACTGCTGACCGAGAGCCGCTCTGGTGAAAAAATTGAAATCAAAATCAAAGCTGTTGGTTCGGTTGAGGCAGCCGACAACCAGCAGTTCCAGGTTCTCAATCTTATTCTGCGCAGAGCTATGGAGGGGTTAAACTTGCAGCTGGTTTCGCGCAATTTTTTCGATCCTAAAGCAAAGGTCTGCTTTCTAAATTATTATTTAACAAGTTGTGAGACTCAATCTTATGATTATGATTTTTTGAAAACAGATTAACTTGGAGAACTACCGCATGGAACTCTGGCCTGGATATCAGACTTCGATTCGTCAACACGAAAGTGATATACTACTTTGTGCTGAAATAGCCCATAAGGTAATGAGAACTGATACCTTGTATAACATTTTATCCGAGGCTATTCGTGACAATGACGATTATCAGACTGCCTTTAAACGCGAAGTAATGGGTGAGTTTGTAATTCATTTTTGGACCCTTTACTTAACTTAATTTGTTCTCGTATTTATTTTAAACAGGTATGGTGGTATTGACGGATTACAACAACAAGACTTATCGTGTTGACGACGTAGACTTTGAATCATCGCCATTAGCTAAATTTAATACCAAGGAAGGGGATATTTCGTATGTGGAGTACTATAAAAAGGTAGACCCTCCAGAGAAAAGTTCCTTACATTTTCTAAATACTTATAAATTCCCAGCGATACAACATCACTATACGAGACTTTAAGCAGCCTTTGATTGTGTCTCGTCCCACCGATAAAAATATTCGTGGTGGCGTCGATCAGCTTATTATGCTTATTCCCGAGCTGGCTCGGGCAACAGGCATGACCGACGCAATGCGCGCCAATTTTCGGTATGTTTATAGTGAGATTGTAGTTCTTGAAGCTTAATTAGTATCCTGGTTTCTCCCGGGCTTTTAGATTGATGAAGGCCATGAGCGAGCATACCCGATTGACTCCAGATCGTCGCATTGAGCGCCTGCGGGTGTTCAACCAGCGATTGAAATCCTCCAAGGAGAGTAACGAAACCATGAAGTCTTGGAACATCGAACTCGACTCGGCTTTGGTCGAGATCCCTGCTCGCGTTCTGCCACCGGAGAAAATCGTGTTCGGGCAAAATAAAAGATATCTGTGCGACAGTCGCGCCGACTGGAACAATGAGTTTCGCAACTCCTCGATGTTCAGTCACGTGGACATTAAGAGGTGGTACGTGATTACCCCGAGTCGAAATTTGCGCGAGACCCAGGAGTTTGTGAAGTTGTGCATCCGGGCAGCTAACGGCATGAAAATGCTTATTTCCGAACCTCGCTAGTAAGTATTCCTAATTAAAATTTTTAAAGAATTTCTGATTTCATGTACCGTTTTTTATAGCGATGAAATTAGGGACGACCGTAATGGAACTTACTCTCAGTCGATTGACAACGCCGTGGCAAAGGATCCACAGATTGTAATGGTTGTGATGAAGTCTCCGAATGAAGAGAAGCACGTTTAGCTGTCTAGATTGTCGAGTAAAAGTTCTAACACTCTTTTCTTTTGTTAACAGGTACAGCTGCATCAAAAAACGCACCTGTGTGGACAGACCGGTACCATCGCAAGTGGTGACTTTGAAAGTCATTGCCCCTCGCCAGGAAAAAGCGGCTGGTCTTATGTCGATTGCTACGAAGGTGGTTATCCAGATGAACGCCAAACTAATGGGTACTCCCTGGACTATAGAGCTCCCAGTTCGCGGCTTGATGACGGTTGGATTCGATGTCTGCCATTCGTCGAAGAACAAAAACAAGTCCTATGGCGCTCTAGTAGCTACCATGGACATCAGAACGTCGGGCCGCTACTTCTCATCGGTGACTGAGCACATGAAGGGCCAGGAGTTATCCGACCAGATGTCGCTGAACATGACCTGTGCTCTGAAGGCCTACCGGGAGCACCACGGTACCTTGCCAGAGCGCATTCTTTTCTACCGCGACGGCGTTGGTGATGGCCAGCTTTACCAAGTTGTGAACACTGAGGTGAAGTTTCTGAAGGCCAAGCTCGACGAAATCTACAAATCGGCTGGCAAAGAGGAGGGCTGCCGAATGGCCTTTATTATAGTGGCCAAGCGCATTAACTCGCGCTATTTCGTAAACAAGCGCAATCCAAATCCGGGCACTGTGGTGGACGACGTTATAACCTTGCCAGAGCGTTATGATTTCTTTTTGGTGTCACAGGCTGTTCGCCAAGGAACAGTGTCACCTACCAGTTACAACGTAATATCCGACAACATGGGGATGAGCGCCGATAAGCTGCAGATGCTCACTTACAAAATGACCCACATGTACTACAATTTCTCCGGTACTGTCCGGGTGCCAGCCGTGTGCCAGTACGCACACAAATTGGCGTTCCTCGTGGCCGAAAGTATTAATCGGTCCCCGTCAGCCGGACTGGAAAACCAATTATACTTTTTGTAGATATGTACATGACACTTGCATCAAAAAATGATTTTATTGTTCAATTTTTATGACATGTTTTAATATTAAGATTATGTATCAAAATGAATAGATACCTAGCACCTGCGCATATTTGGAATTTCAAGCAAATAAAGTGATGCCAATTTATTGTTTCCGGAAAACAAAATACAAAAAGTATTTTAATTTTAGAAGTTTTTTGATGTAGAATATTCAAAATCGGAGTTATAAAAAGCAGCCATCTCCTTATAAAAAAAATGCAATGAATCGGCTGCAGCGTAGCTTGAAATTATGTTTTTATACCCTTGCAGAGGGTATTATAATTTTGGTCAAAAGTGTGCAACGCAGTGAAGGAGACATCTCCGACCCTATAAAGTATATATATTCTTGATCAGGATCACCTCCTGAGTTGATATAGCCATGTCCGTCTGTCCGTCTGTCCGTCTGTCCGTCTGTCCGTCTGTCTGTCCGTCTGTCTGTCCGTCTGTCTGTTTCTACGCGAACTAGTCTCTCAGTTTTAAAGATATCGAATTGAAACTTTGCACACACCCTTCTTTCCTTTGCACGCAGTATATAAGTCAGAACGGCCGGGATCGGACGACTATATCCTATAGCTGCCATATAACTGATTAATCGGAAATGCCATAACTTTGGTGTTTGTTAAGTTAGGAAGTTGTGACTTTCTATGTGTTTTATTTTTGGCCAATCAATCCGACCTACCAAATTTCATAAGGATCGGCCGACTATATCCTATAGCTGCCATATAACTGATTAATCGGAAATGCCATAACTTTGGTGTTTGTTAAGTTAGGAAGTTGTGACTTTCTATGTGTTTTATTTTTGGCCAATCAATCCGACCTACCAAATTTCATAAGGATCGGCCGACTATATCCTATAGCTGCCATATAACTGATTGATCGGAAATGCCATAACTTTGGTGTTTGTAAAGTTAGGAAGTTGTGACTTTCTATGGGTTTTATATTTGCCCAATTAATCCAACCTACCAAATTTCATAAAGATCGGCCGTCTATATCCTATAGCTGCCATATAACTGATTGATCGGAAATGCCATAACTTTGGTGTTTGTAAAGTTAGGAAGTTGGGACTTTCTATGGGTTTTATATTTGGCCAATCAATCCGACCCACCAAATTATAAGGATCGGCCGACTATATCCTATAGCTGCCATATAACTGAACGATTGGAAATGTCATAACTTTGTTGTTTTTAAAGTTAGAAAGTTGGGGTTTTGTATCAGTATTAAGAATGCATCATATGAATAATTTTAGAGATTATAATTTACAGAATATTCTGCAAGGGTATATCAACTTCGGCTCCGCCCGAAGTTAGCTTTCCTTTCTTGTTTTAATCTAACGAAGTGCTATGTACAATACCTGTCATACGACTAGGCCAAATTCACTAATACACTTTTCCGGAAAGCTTATAACTTTGGCTTGTCGAAGCTAATTTATAATTTTTTTTTTTATCTGCTTAAATTTTTTTCGAAATCGCTAAAAATCCTTTAAATAATATACCTTTTTCATTTTCAAAAAATCGAAAATATTTTTTTTTGCTTTATCTTAAAGAACAACATTATGAGAACATTTCCCCAAATTTTCATAGAGATTTGAGCAGTAGAAAGAAAGTTACAGAGCTCCCGGCCGCGCGCATTGTCCCCGCCCAAACCCAAACTTGAAACTTTAAACGCGAATATTTCAAAATTGTTTTTTTAAAAAATGATATTGATATATTGTGGTGATATTGATTGGCGAAAAACTACTGAACCGATTTTCTTCAATTTTTTTTTAAATGTTCGTAATGAATTTTATTAGTACTTGAACGATCGATTTTTTGTGTAAAAATTTTTATTTCGCCGGAATAGATACTTTTGTAAGAATTTTAGCGTCCAAAAACTTAATTTTTTGCAAAAAACGGTCCGGTATGCACAAAAAAATTTTTTTTTTTAACTTTTGTTCAAGTACAGGATATTACTCTAAACTAAAGAAATAATTTTATTTTTACGGTTTTAGTTGACCCGTTTGTCCTGGGGAATCACCGCAAGTCTCTTCCAAAAAAGGCGTTTAAGGAAAACAGCCACCCCTTAAAAACTATTAATAATTTTTTCACAAATTTTTGCATAAACATTGTCAACAATCTAAACTTTCAGAAAATATAATAATTCATTTAGTAAAAAATGGTTACTTACGTAAAAGAAATCCAAACTTTCATATTTTTTAAAGAAAAAAAGTTATATACCCTTTTAAGCAACACCGTGAAAGACTTACAATCCTACAAAGCACATATATGTAAACTCATAATCAGGTAGTATATAAGTCCGAACGAGAGGGATCGGGCGACTATATCATATAACAAACGGAAAAAACAAATTTAAAAAGTATAACCTTTTGTTTTTAATTTGTTGTAGGTTTCTTGGAATTTGTTAATATTTAAATACTATGGAATTACGGTTTTAATTAAATTAAAATCGGACAGAAAAATCAAAAAAAAAAATATTTTGCTTATTCATCGAAATATTCCATTGAGATATAGTATTTATTTATTACATCAGAAATACGCTTTTGGTTTTGTCAAAATCGGACAACAACATCACAAAGCTGCCATAGAAACGATGGTATAATAATAATAATAACTCCAAGGGTATATAAACTTTGGCTTGCCGAAGTTTTCTTCTTTTTTTTTTTTATTTACTAATAAATTTATCCTGTGGTCAAGAACATGTAAATTTATCAGAAAATTATATACATGCTTACATATTTAATAAAAACTCCAATTTATTTAGTTAACATATAATTTAATAATTCACTGTTTAACTTTTACTAATAATATTTGAACTACATACAAATTTTAATGGTTGCTGAACACGTGCGATACCGTGTAATCCTAAAATTCAGTTTTAAATTCAAAAGTTGTTTGCTACAGTCCAAACGGGGCGTTTATCAGTAAATAGATTATTCCTGATTGAATATAAAAGTCTGGAAAATGAAAAAAAAACAATGTGTAAGTATTTGTTGCAAATATAATTATTAATGGTTTGACTACCTGGTCAAGAGCAGAAAATGCAGATGCTAGGGTTCGGGATCATCTCTTCTAGTTGTTGGAGCCACTAAGCTTATTTCTTCATCGTTCAAGTCCTAAATTAGAAATTAAATGTTAAATGTAAATTTGTACACAATTTTAATAGGTAAGTTTAAATGTGAAAAAACGGGTACAAAATACTATCGGCTTTCCGAAGCTTAAGAACTATATAAACAACTATATATTATGGCCAGTCACATAAATTAATAGAAATATTAAAAAATTTTTGGATATCATACATGCAGGTCTAATAAAAGTAGCAAGCACGTGAAAAAAATAATTTATATAATTAGATCATAATAGATTTAGATATAATGTACACTCAAATTTGGTGTGCATTAGAGGTACACTGCACATCTAAGACATTATTATAAATAAACCAAAAAATATCTTAGAATAAATTGTACTAATAAAACATAGGTAATACCACAATAAGTTTAAAGCTATACAAAAAACTATCCAGGTTATTATATAGATTTCAGTTGCTTACAAATGGTAATACATACGCACAATACGTTGTATTATACTATAAACTCGGTATTTGGGGTTCTTTATTTAATATTTTTATACTACGAGTATACGCTTAAAAATAAAAATGTGTTGCATTGCATTGGATAAATATCATTCTCCGTGGAAAGGATTGCGGCACTTTTAGCAAAAACATTTAATGCATATTTAATATTTAACACATTTTTATAATTATGAAGAAAGTTTGAATAAAGATAAGCCGAAAAATATTTCAAAAAATAATTTCTGTTAAAAAATAATTTAAAATTCAAGCTTTTTATTTAATAGAATTTGTACAAAAATGACAGTACTTACCATATGATATATAAAAAAAATTATTTATACAACAACACATCTAATTACAGTTCTTGTTTGTAAACCGCACACTATATATGTAAATTAACTATTTACCATTAATTAAAGTCGATGCTAATCACGACTTTTGAATAATGGTCAATGTGGTCCATTTAATAATCTACTTTTTGTATTTCTTGATTTTGTAAAAATTATTTTTAAAATCTAGGTTAAATCTTATATGCATATTTGTAAGTTTTTATCGTCTATTATTTTTATAAGTTTAACAATGTAATATTGAAAATTAAATTTAAGAAATCAATTTTACATGTAATATTTGTTTCTTGAAAAACCTTTCTTACAATATTTTGCCCACAGAAAGTACGAAAAAAGGTTTTTAAACGAACCGAAGTTTAAATACCCTTGTAATGTACGAGATTTAACCAGAAAGCTTTTATGACGGATATATAAAACAATGCAAATGCTGAAGTGAAGAGTCTTCAAAATCAACAATTTGATTCTAAATTTGCAAAATATTGATTATATGCCAGCTGGAGAATATACATAACTATATGGTCTTAGTAGTGGTTAGAATTTTTTCTGTTTGATCGGTTACCGATTTTTCATAAGGCCAAAGGAATCTGAATTTTGTAATTATTTCTAACAGTCAAAGCAAAAAGAATTTTCTTATTTTTCCTATTTTAAACACTTCTTTTAGAAATCGGATCCGGGATCTTAACCATCGTTTTTAAAAACAGAAAATATAGATATAATAGTTTTTCCTATCCCTGCAAAAAAGTTATATATAGAACGAATTCCCAATAACTTTAGATGTTACTGAGTTAAGCATAGTTAAAAAATTTGAGTTGTGCAAATGTGATTCCTTAAAACCAAAAAAATAGTTAAAATCATAAAATTAAACAAAACATTATATATGTACAAATGTTTACTTTTTAACGTAAATTTATTTGACTTTTTTAAAATTTTATTATGTAAACACATCATTTATTAGGTCTTTAAATGATTGGCAGTTTACTATAATTAATTAATTACAACGTATCAACTGATTTAGTAATATCTAAGAGTTATATAATATGTTAGGCTTTAGCAATAACACTATTCCAATCTATTATAAAAAAACAAGATCACAATTTAGTTACGAATTATGCAATTTTGGTAATGTCCCAACAGTACATTTTGATTTAAATATTTTAATAACCTATTTACAAATACATCTGAATTTATTATATTAAATATCAAATATATACATATGTTATTAAAACTAAGGTAATTGCACTAACAATAACAATAATGACTACCAATAATACGATGGCAGCGACTGTCACTTTAAAATCCATCTCATAAACTTGATGAAGTAATCCTGCAAATTTACAATTACACCAAAACGTATTGATTTAATTTGAATTAACGATAAGACAATAAAAAAACTTTTTAACTATATTTATGTTTTAAAAGAAAAAATATTACATTGCTATGACTTGCAAAGAATCAAAATTAAAATATGTATTGAATAACAAAATAAAATTTCTAAGAAAAATTAAGTTTTTATACAGTGTACAACGATATAAATGACATTTGTTAAGGTACGAAATTGTATTGCAGTGTTAAAAAAATAAATAAAAGGCAATAAATTTTGTTTTTAAAAAAAATAGGGAAAACTAAAAGCAAGAATTGGTAGAATAATTGTATGTACTACATCGTTTAAAAGGGAAACAAGAAAAGAAGCAGGCCGAAGTTTATATACCCTTGCAGTTATTACAAAACGACTCAATTTCGAAGCCTATGCCTATATTACTAAAAAGAATAAAGCAATTCGATTTTGTCGTCCGATCCGTATATACTTCCCGCAAAAGAAAGACAACTTTTGGGAAAGTTTTAAGCAGATAGCTTTAAAACTGAGGGACTAGTTTGCGTAGAAACGGACGGACACACGGACATGGCTAGATCGACACTATATATTAACATATACTTTAAAGGGTCGGAAATGGAATTATAGATACTAAAAGACTGTATTATGGATATTATGTAGTGTTTTTTTTTTTCCTACTAGTAATTTAGACTTTTCCACGACTAAAATATTTAAAAAAAAATAATTTTCCAAATGTTTCAATGGCAGCAATATGTTATATTCGTCCAATGCAGCGAGTTCAGACTTATTTACTACCAGCAATAGGAATGCAACTATTGGGAAAAAATCTTTAAAAGTGAGAGATTAATTTATAAACGGACATTGATAGACTGGCTCGGTTAACGATTCTAATTCACAACGTATTTTAGTTTTTATACAGTCGGATAAGTCTCCTCAATATGTTCCACGCTTCTGACTGACTTTAAATGGAAGGGAAGCAGTACGCATAATTAATAAGAAAATCCATGATGTACATATATTTTATCTTGTATCTTAATTTTAAATGTGGAAGCTTTACGTTTTTGTATAAAGTTTTTTTTTTAAATAAACATTTACTAAGAATGTTTATAATAAGACGTTGGTAGAGAATTTGAAGTAAATGAAGGATAGTTTTTATTTTGTATTATTTTAATGGTCAATATCTGATTTAACAATAAAACATAACCTCTTGCTTTTAATAAAATCAAGAGTTAACAGCCAAATATTAAAATGATTTTTATTGTATGTGTAACACATAGCCGCAACAGCTCTGGATTTTAAACGGTATAGTTTCATAGGTTAAAGACAAAACAAAGAATTACCCAACGTAAGAAGCTCTCTGCTTCTTTCCAATCGACTTTAAAAAAAGACTACCTACAAAAAAAAACAATTTTAAGTTTTATTTTTGGAATTAAATATTTTTTCTTTTACATAAAAGGGGCACTACGGGTATCTTTAATAACTACTCGAATGACGAAAACATGTTCGTTTTTAACCAATCAATATTAACAAATGTAAAAAGAGATCCCTAATATTTTTGAGCTATAATAAAATCAAATGAGATTGAAAAAAATAGGAGAAATCCGTATGGCATTTACCCGTATAATATAATGGTTTTGTGAAAATATTAATTGAAATCATATACTACTGAATTAAGATTTTGGCGCATTTTTTGCGATGGGTCGATGTTGAAAATTTACAATCATATGCCTTATAAAAATATTTTATGATATTTCTGAGGTCAGCGTTGGAAAAGCTAGTTATGGACAGCCGTTTGAGTTGAATTACTGTTAAAAAACCCACCTGACGTTGAAAGAAATTCTTGTTCTGGACTCAGGTGTAAGGAGTATGCAGTGTGATCACCTTCAATATACTTCATTTACAAATACGTAGAGACATAAAAAGAAATTATAGTGATGGTAACGTAGAACAGAATAACACAAAAAGGTAACACTATGCAATACATATGGATTCGGTGAACATTTTTTTATTTCTATTAGAACATTTCAATTACACAAAACATCTGGATTTAGAACTAAGTATGGGCCTGTTGGCAAAAGAGAACATCACTATTTGACCATCCCTCTACTTTTTAATTTTATTTAAGCTTCGTTATTTACCTATGCATTACTGGTAAAGAAAACAAAAGATTTGTACGTTATGGTAGTTAACCGGTAGAGATGACAAATACACTTTGTTGTCCTGAATATATATCAAATAAAGACAATACAATATTATAACAAGCTTACTGGTTTTCTTCTATCTACTAATATTCGAGATTTTATTTTACTTTGACACTGCGAGGTCAACAAATAAGACTTACGATGGCAAAGAGCACGGCACCGCCAAAAGAACGATTGTACAAATCTCCAACAGCCCTCAAAATTTAACAAAAGTCGAGAATTTATGAATATTTTAACTGATTTTTAAGATAGTATTTTTGTGTATAAAGTAATTTAAAAGTGGGAAATACTTAGTGTATATATAAAATACAGTGCAGTACGCACTTAAACCAAACAAGATAACTTATTTTTGGTAAATAAAACAGAATAACCAAATTAGAAAACTTGTAATATTAATGAAATATCCTGCCCTATCAGTTTTTATTTTATTTTACGTTTCATTTAAATGAGTGTTGTGAAAAGCTTTTGCGCCATTGATGAATAAAGATCTCACCTTTTTAGCTGGAGGTGTTGGGACCTGAAGGTGATATTTGTTTTGACAATAGTCGCGCAACAACGCAATGCCTTCTGTGCGATTGTTAGCGTAGCGCGATTCCCAGGCATCCAAAAGGCGATTATAATACCGTGGACTGTCGTTGTATTTAAGGTACTTATAGGTTTGATCTGTTGGAAAAATACGTTCCAATGGTGCACATCGTGCCAGTTCATCCTCGGCTATGATAAGGCACCGCACATCATCGGGAGTAAGATTATTCAGGATCGCATTTACATACTATTGTGATAAAAATTGTTAACTTTAATTTCAATATGTATAACATATTTTGCCCCGTACCTCGTTTCGATCTTCCATAGACTTTCTTGTGAAGGTGTTATGTTTTACCTTTTCTTCGCGAGATAAATAGTTGATATAAAGCCGTTTGTCGTAACACATTTGCGTGCCAGGAGGAAAAGAAAATTCTGCGGCCAGTTCTTTTTGCTTATCCAAAGATAGTTTTGGAGGTACCTATTTTGAATATGTGAATGTGATAACTTATTTGAATTTATAATAACACAACTCACGTTGTACAAAGCCGTGTTCAGAACGCCCTGCACTAAAGGAGCCTTGACATGGGCATCTAGTGGCAGTTCCGAGTGTAAGCTCGGAGATATATTAACTTCCAAAAGCCAAGGAACCAGGTCGGAGTCCAAAATTACATCAAAGCCAAACAGCTCGAAGCAGCTGTATTTGGATTCTACATTTGCTCTGATCATGCTGTTAATCCCATTCTCGCCAGCAAGAATCGTACGAAGGACCAAACTTCGAAGAGCTTCCCACAGGCAGTCAGTACGAACCCCTCGGTTTGCCAAATACGTCCACAGAGACTTGATGGTCCACTTATGCCCGTGACAGGCATTGACATCTTCGTTTTTTGAATAATTCGAGGAGAACTTGTTGATGCTGTAGTTGGTCAAGTGCATACACCGATCATTTAAAGTGTCCGTCTTAGCACTGTACTTCACTACACATAAGACGGTCTGATTATATATTGCTTACTCGGATTGAAAGGATATTTACCAGAAGCAAATCGAGCCAATCCGTTGTGATACATGAAAACTCGCAAGGGATTAACAGATGTTACAAGGACATATAGACGCAGGTCAAATTTGCTTCCATTTATAAGAAGTGGCCGTTCAATATACCTATTAAAGAAATACACAAAGTATAAAAAGTATTTAGTCATTAATGGTTAATTAAGGTGAAGGCCTTTACTATTTAAAAAGTAATTTTCCAATGAAAGATACCGAAAAGAAATCATGGGAGAACTCTTAGATATTTAGAAAACATTCAAATCGAAGAAAGAAACGTCTAGTTAAACTTAACATTTTCTTTATCCTAATGTTACTTACTTCTGTACGATAAGGGGCCTTCGCTTGGGGATCTGACCCCACCGGTTAATAACTCTAATTCCAGCACCCCGAGCACTGGCCGGTGGCTTTATAATCCACTTCGTATTTCGCTGGGAATACTTCGGCCAGTGCCTGCGCAATGCACCCAGATCATTGGGAATAATATAGGTGCGAGGCATGAATCCGAATTCCTTGTTGCTGTGCTTGCCCATCTGCCTTTGGAGATTTTTCCAGCACGAATCCTTTCGACCGATGCGAAATGAGCCAGGTAAATGGTTGATTTTTTGGTATGACCGAATGGCCTTAAAGCACGGCGACTTTAAATGCTTGCCCCAAACACCCATCCAATCATTGGTTTCTGTCGAAGAATCTCCTTTAATCAAAATCTATTTATGTTAAAAAAACTCACTTTTCAACATTCGCATTCCGCTGTTGGCCAGAATCAGGCGAACAACCTTTGGCATTATATTTGTGATGCGCCACTTCAGTACTCGATGAAGATCCGGCGGCACGCGCGGACCCTTTTTTGTGTTCGACGAGAAGGACAGATAGGGGGGAACGTAGGGAAACAAACTGGGAACGAGGAGGGAATCCGGATTTTTAAGATCATCCTCAGAAGATTGAGAAGACAAAAAGCTGGGCGTGCTTTGGGGTGATGAAAACCGATCCACGGAATGTGTTAACTTGTAGGCATGGGCACGATAACCGTCTTCGGTGTCCGAGATGACACTTGCTGTGTCGCTTTCGTCAAAATTTGAAACTATTTAGTGTAATGAGCATGAGAAAAAAACATAAATTAAATAAACAGCTAAATACTTCGGACAGTGTCATTACTCTGACCAATTGAATTGAAAAGATAGGTTGGAATATTTTGCAATACTTTAATTTGAAAAAGTTAAACTTTATCAATTCAAATTTTTCAAATGGTATCCGAATAAAAATTTGGGGCACTGTGAAACTTTTCTTACGATTGTCGAGGTCATCATCTTCGTCGAAGTCATCATTACGATCAAAGTCAATGACACTGCGGTGGTCTTCCTGTTTTGAGTCCGACTCCAGCAATATAACCGTTTGTCCCTCGTCGCCGCCACCTAATGATTTGGAGTTTTGCTGTTTTATACTAAGACGCTGGGTGGCAAACTGTTGCTTTCGGCCCATCCGTGGACTTTGTGTGCTGTACAGCAGAACCCGGTGAACCGTGGGCATTGGTTTCTTGACGGACACGGCTCCACCTTTGGCCCTCTTTGGCGTCATCGGCAACCGGGGCACGGGTTGATCTGTCGATTTCCGTATGACTTTCAATTCATTATTGTTGTTATTGATTAGAGTATCTCCCAAATCATCCAGGACCGTATTCTCGGTCATTCTGCAATAGCGTCGATGGACCTGATCCAGGCCGTTATCTATAACAATGGCTGGGTCATAGCCATCCTTGATATCCCTGTAATCGTCGCCACTCCCGGTTTCTCCCCAGCCATTATCCAGGTAATCCGCTTCCACATCATTGCTCGGCAGCTTCTCCTTCAGAACGTTCTTCTCATATTTTGGACTCTGCCAGCTCCTGTCCTCCGAATTGTCCCTTCGACCAATAATGACGGTGTCATCGACATCTCGCGAATCCCTGCGACTGGCACCGGACTTTTGGAATTTACTCATTGGCAGTTTGCGGCTATTGGCAACGACAACCGGGGACTTCGACAATTTCTCCGCTCCACGATTGTAAAAGTACGAAAAATAGTGCTGATAGTGCTGGTTTGTCGTCTGATATTGGGTCGGCCGTTCTGAGCTGAAAAACGAGAACAGAAAACGGTTAACACCGAGCTGACGAACAAAGGAATATGTTATTGTTTACACATCTATGTTCAATAAGTGTTTGTGGGTATATGGTTATGTACTCGCAACTAGAGTTTTGTGTGGTATCTATCGGTAGTTTTCCAAATGGTAATTGTAAGACTCGAACACAACAACAACAAAATACGTGTGTGTGCGTGTACTGGAGGTATGTAGTTTCAACAAGCAGGACAAGTAACAAAAATGCAATTGCAAAATTACAGTATGGTATCCCAGGTCGGCTCTGGTGAGGGGGAATTGAGGGCCCGAAATCGGTCCGGACTATTGTCCAGATAATCAGAGGACACACGTCCCGCCCGGGCTTTCCGTTTCTTTAGCTCCGGATCGAAGTAAACGATGGATGACTGCAGCAACATCTGCTGTTGCTCCTTGTCAGCAGCATAGGGCCTTGTCAGCTTGTACTGCCCATTGGAATGCTGATCCTCCGATCGTCGAACAGACTGGTAGACGTACTCGCAGCTCTTGTTGCCAGCTATACGCTGGTTGACCAGGGAGTGCTGGCCAAATGCATCGGCGTAAAGCGAGGAATCCGGCGCCGAATTGGCCGCCGATTGATGGTAGTTTGATCTGGCAGCTTGCTTGGTGGGAATTCGCTTTGACGGCAGGTTGTGGTTCTGGTTGGGAACTTGATTTTGATTCTGGCTCTGACGGCTACTCCATCCGGGAGCAATCAGGTTGCAGTTATCGTAGTTATAGTAGCAAAACGTATTGTCCGCATTGCAGTAACGTGGGGCAGGTGCTGCGTTGTTGTTCAGACTGTTGCTGGCCGGGATATTATAGCCGCTGTTGTTACGCATGTCAGCATGTCCTGGTCACCTGGTCATATAGTACGTTCTAAGCTCGTTGTGATCTCTGACTCCGCTAACCCAAAAAAAGGCCTAAAACAAGTTTATATGCTGTGAATGATATCTGATCGGATTTGGACGTAAGGTTACGGATGCGGATTAATCATATCTGGTGGATAGAGAGAAGGCAGAATGCGAGATGGCACTCTGACGGTGAATACATTATATATTAACCCCCCAAAATAGCTGCCACTCCGTAAACCAGGTCAAATGTACAAAAACTTACTTGCCTCGCGATTTGTGACCTTTACTTTGTTGCTGCAGGAAGGATTAACAGGCGAACGGAGCAGAGTATTGCGGTGGCGGTGGTGTTTCAAGCGCAGGACTCCCAAAATCTAGGTCACCAGCACTTGTCGTCAGCTCGGAGTGATTACATTGCCAGCACGAAAATTGCGCCAAGTAAATGGAGGCAAAACTAAAAAACGAAACATCCTGCGATTTAGGTACGAAGGGTTTTATGATTGCGACAATACACCTACAATATAATTTATAACAAATGCACGATTTCGTCTACAATTATTTGGCTTATATAGTAGCTTCCAGTTCAGCGTTTGTACTGAAATTCTTATTATTTCACTAAAACTTTTCACAGCCTACGACAAAAAAAACTAAACTACTATTTTGAAGAAATATAATATCCATGTGCACAGTTTGGAGATGGTAGCGTGACCATTTCAGAGTACTACCAAGCGATACATATCGATTGCGCACGCAGCAGCTGCTGTCGATAGCTATTTTCTAGGAACTTTGGGGGAGTTCCCTTAAAAGTTTATAATAAATGTAGCATAAATTCGAAGCAGTTCATGTCAAGTAACTAAAAAAGTCGTTATAAACAGTTATACTCGATCTTCTTGGGCAAAAAAGGATAATTTAATAAAAAAAAACTAGGTCAAAGGGTTATTGATTCGTTACTTGGGTCAAGGATATTGTTATTGTAATTGGAAATTCATTTGTCATTTTATCTTTTTCACTGGCATTATAATAACGTTTAAAGCTCAATAGATGTAAAATTGTTCACGTTATAAAATCTTTATACTTTAGAGCATCATAAACAAGCGAGAAACTATACAAACTATAAAAAGCACCATCGGTTTCTTCGAAAATCACAACCGCACAATTTCCAAACGTTTCGCTTATGGTTTCATGAACAACATAATCAACATTACATGTGACTAATTAAAATACTCTTTTAAAAGTGAAAATCCAAATATGTATTTCCGAAATTGTATTATTGCAGTACAAACCTAAGCTATATTTATATTTATATTTTAATTAAAAATTAGTTTTTTTGTGTAAATAGGTATTGCATTTATTGGGATGCAAAATGGATTTTGATAAATTGTCTTCTATTGCTGTCTTCCCCAGATTTTGGTGCTCTTCCTATCGAATTAAAGAAAGTTGAATTGAATGGTGAAATGTTCTGTTCAGTATCTGAGGAAAGAGAGATTTTAAATATGAAAACACAACTCGAAAAATCTGTGATTAACAATATTAGCTTACCTATGCTGGGGTCAGCCCACTCCATTGCCATGTTGTGCAGAATGGATAGGGCTGTAATCGTTTGCTTGGCAGACCCATGGGAGCCCAGTATTTCAGTTCCAAGGATACCGAAGCGACTCATCAACAGGTTGAGGCATTTTCTGGCCGAGGCATAGGTGATTGAGTGGGCATGGTTGTAGAGCTCTTCGGATTGGTTCCTTGGAAATCGAACTGGAGTGAACAGGGATGAGGAGCAACGGACCATTTCGTTTCCGAGCAGAATGCGTCCACGAAACTCATTTTGTTCGAACCGCTCCTTTATTTTAGACAGAGCGAACATCTCAGTGTCAGTGAGCATTGAATGTTCTTCGATCAGTCGAATATCGAGGTCTCTTATTTTATGGGCTGCATCGCACACAATTTGTAAGTGAAGCTCCTCTTCCCTTGGAGAAAATGGGTTTTCCCCATCAAGATCTTCTGCTGCCAAGTTCTCCGGTTGAAATCTCACAGTTGTCTGCAGTAATGCACCGATGACCTGCGGCATATTCGCAATTGCTTGAAACGAACACATCATTCGCTCCTTTTCGGAAAGAGTGGCCGGCATTCTGATATACCGGGAAGCTTTGGATGACAAAACAGAAGCAACGCGCCTTGTGATTTTCGCCAAAGTACGTAAACTAACGCCATGGGCCATTGCAGTCAATTTTGGGTGCTAAAATTAATTTATTTATTAGTGAATAGCAGGTTTATAAAACAGCTTTTCTAACGGTCAATTTAAAAAAAGTTTGTATTCGCGGTTTCGGTGTACATACAAATTCATAAAAATCTCTTATACAGAAATTTAATTTACCTCTGTTCCGCCCCAAAGCCGAATTGCTGATAGAATTTGTAGATCTATTGGAACTTGCTCCCTTTTTAATGGCTCGTAGTATTCAATTTCGAGGTCGTCTCGCACAATTTCAATAATTCGGCGAAGATTTTCTTTGGTGTACCGGTATTTTATGCGGAATTGGTTCTCATTAAGATCAGTCAGAGGGTTGAATCGGTGCGTTTTCTTCATATGGGTTGCTCGGATCTGACCATTGTTTTTGGTACTGACAAAACTTTGAAAGTCTTTAAAACATTCTAGGTCTTTTAGAGACCTCTCAAATATTTGTATATCTTGCATTTTAACTTGTTTTGTTTATACTTAATTTAGTGTGGCTGTTGTACGTATATTTGAAAATACCTCCACTCAGACTGCCTGCAAAAAAATCCATGGTATTTTAAGGCTCTAGCAACGATGAGCCTCAGTGACTTAGCGGCGATGGCGGAACGATAGACTTTGGAACACGACAGCTACTTTTATTCTTTGATTTTCTCGCTATTTAGGCACGTCCTCACACACTTTTAAATGCAAAAATATTTTTAAAAACATATAAATTGTAACTTTATATAAAGGATTTGAACATATTTGAGGCTTGCTAGTATTTAAAAATGCATTTGAAATATCTCCACCCACAGAGCGTGCGTCAAATCGCTTAACAGTGGGAAAGGGTCTAGATCAGCCTATATAAAAAAGGACTACAAAATTGAATTAGAAATAAAGTCCTTCACAGATCGTGGTCCAAAATGCCGTGCATATAGACCTATGTAGGGATGCTGAAGTTTCTTGAAATTTTGATAAAAAACTGTATCCACAGTTTTTGAAAAAATCGCATTTCAGTGGATGGAGTTTAGTGGTATATAATTAATTTACCTACAGTTGTAAATCGTAGAACAATGCTTGGTACTATTTTTATGCAAAATCTTATAAGAGGTGATATTGATTCTGCAGAACTTGTGACCGCCTAACTTTCAATGTTCCTGTTAGACTAACACGAAATTATATTCCTCTAAATTTGCCACGCTATACATCAAATTTTTGTCTGCAAGAGCCCTTTCGCGTTCTATGTAATAATTATAACAACCTTTATCATTTAATTTGCATATCAACTTCTATCCCGTTATTAAAAACTAATATTTAAACTCATTTGCTTTACTCTTAATTGTGCCTTTTATATTCACTTGTGTCTTGTCTCTATTTAATTTATGTATTTTCCTCGTGAACTCGCATTTTTTGGCCAAAATGATAATAGGGCCCGCGCGTAACAAGCACGTGCTTGGTGTCGTTGTTTGTACTGCTCGAAGTGCATCAACATCAATCAACATAAAAAAAAAAAAAAAAAAAAAGTGCCGCCCACTCTATCACTTGAGCCAATTCATTAGTCATGGCATGAACCAACTAATTCTCTGTCATCTAAAATACCAATTCGAAGCTAACTTTTCAGAAATCCCACCACCCCGCAAAGAGCGTGTGCCAAGTCAAGAGATGTTTTAAAAAATTGCTAAGCAATCGTACTAACTTTGAGGAAAGTTTCAATTAATTTCTATCCGCAAGTTTTAGTACTGTTCTAAAAGTATATCTGTTGCCTGCCAGTCGTTTGTATGACATTTATAGGATATAGTTGCATTAAACGCGGGATTTTAATACGTGATATACGCGGTATATATACAAAAATGTTGCACGTTGTTACAGAAACAGTAACGCTCTTCAACCATTTACTATTATTTACAAGTTAAGATATGCTTTTAACCATTGTTTTATACCATTTAACTAAACGCGAGATTTTAATACGTGATATACGCGGTAGATATACCAAAATAATACACGTTGTTACAGAAACAGTAACGCTTTCCAACCATTTACTATTATTTACAAGTTAAGATAAGCTTTTACCATTATTTCATACCATTTAATTAAACAATTAATTAATTTAATTAATTAATTATTTCAAATCTATAATTCTTAAAAAAAAAGAATACCCTCATACCTTAAAAACCTCTTACCTCCTGAAAAAGTTCAGGATGAGATATTATATATTGAAAAACCTAACTTTTTGTTCAGCAGACGATTTGTGGAATGTTTTCAGTGGGTATGGGTGTTTATGGTATAAGGAAACAACACTATTAAGTGTTGTTATCATTGAGTTCGATACATTGATAGTACTATCAAAGTCCACCTCTAGCAGCGCGTCAGTTTTGAAGCTAAGCTCTCGCTCCCGATTCATTCTTCGCTGGGTTTTTCGTAAGTGAAAAAGTGGAAATAAGAAATGGCTGACGATCAGGCTCGTGGGCGCAGGCGTCAACTTGATGAAGATGAACCAACCACTTCACGAGGAAGTAGAGATGAGCCGGTACGTAATTTTATAATTTAACTAAATACCGGCAAGGACGGTCACTTCGAAACAGTAAAAGTTCTTCCTTGAAGGAATTTTAACATATTTGTGTTATGACGTCTCACACACATTTATATATATATATATATATTTATATGCATACATACATTTGTATATATATATACATATATACATACATACCATTTCTTCTGGCGGTCATTATTTCCATATAATGCATCTAGAGTACTTGTGTATAAACAGGAATATGCGTGTTTCTATATACGAAGTTTGTCCCAAAGAGAAACCACTAACAATAAGCATTAAATAAACAAACAAATGCAACGATGAATATGCTCAAGAAATACTCGACTTTATATTTCCTGTTCAATACATTAAGAGGAAATATAAAACCGCGTCGGTTTTATGCAGACATGGAAACGGATTATTGTTGAGCAAGCGAATCTTTAAAGAGAATCTTCTATAGTATTCCACGAAAATATGTTGCCTTTTGCATACATTGTACTGTAGCTTTCAACATCTAAACACAAATTCCAGTGGTTGCTGTCTTTGCAATACTTTTGTCCTCTTATTTCTCTATGCTCAGAGTTGTTAAAGATGTGTATGTGAAAGGGAAGCGATAAAGAAAAATTTAAGTTCCTCTATGTAATCCAATTAATGTTTTTATTAAAAAGCTCTGCAAGGATGCCTAGCGACTACTTACATATAATATAAAAAAACACATTCTTTGGTGTAGAGAAGTTGCAGACTAAGTCAATATATGTATGAATGTTTGTCAACGATTTCCTCTTTACTTTTACCTCTCTCTTCGCTTTTTTTTTCCAAGAAGGTGCTGCAAATAACGCTTTTCATAAAAATACACATATGTATACAAATTGGTACTTGTAGTAGTTACCCGTAGAGTAAAAGGGTATATTGTATTCGTGCAAAAGTACCCTGCAGTCCCGAAATTCATCACTACAGAAATTCATCACCTTTTAATCAGCAGCGGACTGCGACGCCGGCAGAGCCAAAGGCAAAGTCGGCAGAGCCGAAACTCTCAGTCCCCAATCATAGGAAACGCAGAAAAATGTCCATCTCCCTCTCTTACTCTGTCTCTGTGTGATGAATTACTGATTAAAGAGTGATGAAAAACTGAAAAAAAGTGATGAATTACTGATTAAAGAGTGATGAATTTTTCACTGATTAACTCATTATTCATCACTAATTTGTATGAAGATTCATCGATTAATCATCAGCAGTGATGAATTTTTGGTGATGAAATAGCGATTAAAAGGGTAAGAACGGTACTGCAGGGTATGTAACAGGTAGAAGAAAGCGTTTCCGACCCTATAAAGTATATATATTCTTGTTCAGGATCACTAGCCGAGTCGATCTAGCCATGTCCGTCTGTCCGTCTGTCTGTCTGTCCGTATGAACGCTGAGATCTCGGAAACTATAAAAGCTAGAAGATTGGCATTTTGCATGTAGATTTTAGGAGTTCCTACGCAGCGCAAGTTTGTTGTGGTGCCACGCCCCCTCTGACGCCCACAAGCCACAAGCTGTGGCCACAGTTTTAATTCTATTATGAAAATTGTAATTGATATGTATTTGTTTCGTCAATACCTATCGATTGGCTTAATAACGCCCACTCTAACGCCCAAAAACACATTAAACGCTTAAGCCTGGCTAGCGCCTACATTTCCGCCTTTCATGGCCCGTGGTACCAATGTCTTGGGGTAGATGGCGCAATACAATAGCGCCATCTAACGGATGACTTTGGAACAGCTGGCCAAGGTGCTCAACAGAGTCAACGTTAATTCTCGATAAGGATTTCTATTAAAGGAAATTGCGATCGTTTTCATTTGTCCATACCGAACTATATCCCAAGAACTATGCAAATCAAATCAAGTTAGCCAAATTGGAGGTCTGAGTCAAACAATGGTGTATGTGTGTATGTATGTAAGCATATACATATGGATGTATTTACATTGTACATAGTTGCAATTGCCCGGCAAAGATAACTCCTTTCAAAGAAAGCTATTCGCTATACCCGTTACTCGTGTTGTGCAAATATTTAGACTTTAATATACATAATGCTATTTAACAATGTATGTGTTTAGCCAATATAAGTATGTATGTTTAATATTTCTAGTCAATTTATTACAAGAAGGCATATTTATATTAAGTTGTTTAGCTGAGTAACGGGTATCTAATAGTCGAGGCACTCGACTATAGCGTTCTCTCTTGTTATACCCTTGCAGAGGGTATTATAATTTTGGTCAAAAGTGTGCAACGCAGTGAAGGAGACATCTCCGACCCTATAAAGTATATATATTCTTGATCAGGATCACCTCCTGAGTTTTATAGCCCTTCGAATTGCCTGCTATGAACTAACTACAAGCAGAAGTCAATTGAGTTTAATGATCAAAAACAATCCTAGTGTTTGCAAAGGAAATTCTTAGTATGCAATATCTTGTCAATGGACAGAGAATGGTAAAATCATATTTTATTACGAGGCAGCTTCTCAAACTCAAGTTAGGTAATCATTAAATACTGAACAATTGAGAAAAGGGAATAAAAATTAAAGCATCATTGTTTCTTAACATATCATTTTTAAATTTTTCAACGAAAATTACTGTTATGATTTTATAAAAATAGGACGACTATGTAAACTTCGGCTTGACGATAAATTTAAAACTTAGAAAACTGAAATTATGAACTTTTTTGTCACAGCTCATTTCAGATAAGCCCGTCCCTTTATCGTAAAAATGTATGGTTAAACATAAAGGTAATATTTCAAGGGGACCTCGTCATATCTAATAATTACTATAACCGCATTTAATGGAAATTTTCCTTCAGGATTTAGTTAAATTTTTCTCTATAATGTGAAAGTATGTGAAGACTTTTTACAGAAAGAACTCTGTAAAGTAAAGCCAGTTAGGAAAAATAATCGCTATAAATAAAGCCAGTTAGGAAATATAACCGCTATTTACTTTACAAAGTTACATCGTAAAAGTACGCTATTTCGACTTTGTTAGTGGCGCAAATCAACAATATATATGTATATATAATGTAGAGTAGCCTTATTTTTGTTTGATTCACAAATAAATCGATAATAAATAATCTTAATTTTTATACAGCGGAGCAAAATATACAAAGGGTCTTATTCGGGTGGATCGAAATCGGATACTCGTGCAGAGCCCCCAAGCTCTGATTTCCGGGCAGGGGGTTCGAGATCAGGTCCACTCGTTCCTCATAATCTTGTTATACCCTTGCAGAGGGTATTATAATTTTGGTCAAAAGTGTGCAACGCAGTGAAGGAGACATCTCCGACCCTATAAAGTATATATATTCTTGATCAGGATCACCTCCTGAGTTGATATAGCCATGTCCGTCTGTCCGTCTGTCCGTCTGTCCGTCTGTCTGTTTCTACGCAAACTAGTCTCTCAGTTTTAAAGCTATCGGATTGAAACTTTGCACACACCCTTCTTTCCTTTGCACGCAGTATATAAGTCGGAACGGCCGGGATCGGCCGACTATATCCTATAGCTGCCATATAACTGATTGATCGGAAATGCCATAACTTTCGTGTTTGTAAAGTTAGGAAGTTGGGATTTTCTATGGGTTTTATATTTAGCCAATCAATCCGACCTACCAAATTTCATAAGGATCGGCCGACTATATCCTATAGCTGCCATATAACTGAACGATTGGAAATGCCATAACTTTGTTGTTAAAGTTAGGAAGTTCGGATTTTTTATGAGTATTAAGAATGCATCATATGAATAATTTTGGAGAATATAATTTATAGAGTATTCTGCAAGGGTATATCAACTTCGGCTCCGCCCGAAGTTAGCTTTCCTTTCTTGTTTTTATTATCTTAACACAGAATTAATAAACTACCATTATTAGAATTTTAAAGTCTTTTTTAGAAAATAATAATTTTAGATAGAATCATTAATTTACTGTTAAATACAAGTGACTTAATTAATTTTTCTTTTATAAATAATTTATTAAAAATTAAAAACAAAAAAATTACACTTGGTGTCTATTTTGTTAAAACTTTATTGATTTGGCCACATCTTTTGCTTAATCCCAATTTAATCTATTTTGCCTTAGATTAAAGGAAAATTTGTTTGAATTTACAGGTACATAGATTCGATTCGAAAAGTCAACTAACATAAGCCTTTTGCTTAGGGAAAAGATTATTATATTATACGAGAAGGTCGAAAGGACCCAAAAGTCAATTGGCATACTCAGATAGAGTGACGAACTTAATTATTGGCACAGCAAGCATGTTGAACTTAAAGGCTATTTTTCTTTATCTAATATGCTGATATTTTAATGAAGAAAAATATTTTTAGATATAATCATTAATTTACTGTTAAATACAAGTGACTTCATTAATTTATCTTTTATATATAATTTAACAAAAATAAAAAACCCTGAACTAAATAATTGGCACACTTAAGGGGGTGTATACCTTTTTCATTTTCAAAAAATCGAAAATTTTTTTTTGCTTTATCTTAATGAACAACTTCTTGAGAACATTTCCAAATTTTTATAGAGATTTGAGCAGTAGAAAAAAAGTTACAGCGCTCCTAGCCGCGCGCCTCGTCCCCGCCCAAACCCAAACTTTAAACTTAAAACGCGAATATCTCGAAATGGTGTTTTTTGAAAAATGACTTTGCAGTGATATGGATTGGCGAAAAACTACTGAACCGATTCTCTTCAAATTTTTTTTTGAATGTTCGTAATGAATTTTATTAGTACTTGAACGATCGTTTTTTCATGTAAAAATTTTTATTTCGCCGAAATAGATAGTTTTGTAAGAATTTTAGCGTCCAAAAACGTAATTTTTTGCATAAAACGTTCCCGTATGCACAAAAAAAATTTTTTTTTAAAACGTTCGTTCAAGTACAGGATACTACTTTAAACTAATGAAATATTTTTATTTTTTCGGTATCAGTTGACCCATTTGTCCTGGGGAATTATCACTGCAAGGCTCTTTAAAAAAAAGGCGTTTAAGGGAAACAGCCACACCTTCAAAACTATTAAATATTTTTTCAAAATTTTTTGCATAATCATTCATTTAATAAAAACAATAAATACATACATAAAAAAATCCAAACTTTCCTATTTTTTTCGACAAAAAAAGGTATATACCCCCTTAATGAACTATTTTGTTAAAACTTTATCGTTTTGGCCACTTTCTTTTTATTTATCCCATTTGCCGCTATACTCTTAATTGTATAATGATTATTTTTAGAGCTAAAATTGTTTTAGTGCCTTAAAATAAAGAAAAAGTTGTTTGACTTTACAATGTCAAAATTAAATCAACCGCAAATTAAAATTTAATTAGCAGGATCAAGGCCAATCAAATGTCAAGATTGGGGAAAGGATGCCCTTAGCAGCATTGTAAAGAACCCACGCCGTTGCAAAATGCAAGGCACACTGGCCGATTTATGGCTTTGAGTACCCAGGAATGAATAAGGATCACATGAAAGGATAATTTCAAACCCCAACAACTTTTAATTTTATAGCCCTTCGAATTGCCTGCTATGAACTAACTACAAGCAGAAGTCAATTGAGTTTAATGATCAAAAACAATCCTAGTGTTTGCAAAGGAAATTCTTAGTATGCAATATCTTGTCAATGGACAGAGAATGGTAAAATCATATTTTATTACGAGGCAGCTTCTCAAACTCAAGTTAGGTAATCATTAAATACTGAACAATTGAGAAAAGGGAATAAAAATTAAAGCATCATTGTTTCTTAACATATCATTTTTAAATTTTTCAACGAAAATTACTGTTATGATTTTATAAAAATAGGACGACTATGTAAACTTCGGCTTGACTATAAATTTAAAACTTAGAAAACTGAAATTATGAACTTTTTTGTCACAGCTCATTTCAGATAAGCCCGTCCCTTTATCGTAAAAATGTATGGTTAAACATAAAGGTAATAATTCAAGGGGACCTCGTCATATTTAATAATTACTATAACCGCATTTCATGGAAATTTTCCTTCAGGATTTAGTTAAATTTTTCTCTATAATGTGAAAGTATGTGAAGACTTTTTACAGAAAGAACTCTGTAAAGTAAACCGCTAATTACTTTACAAAGTTACATCGTAAAAGTACGCAATTTCGACTTTGTTAGTGGCGCAAATCAACAATATAAAAGTATATATAATGTAGAGTAGCCTTATTTTTGTTTGATTCACAAATAAATCGCTAAGTTTTAAATAATCTTAATTTTTATACAGCGGAGCAAAATATACAAAGGGTCTTATTCGGGTGGATCGAAATCGGATACTCGTGCAGAGCCCCCAAGCTCTGATTTCCGGGCAGGGGGTTCGAGATCAGGTCCACTCGTTCCTCATAATCTTGTTATACCCTTGCAGAGGGTATTATAATTTTGGTCAAAAGTGTGCAACGCAGTGAAGGAGACATCTCCGACCCTATAAAGTATATATATTCTTGATCAGGATCACCTCCTGAGTTGATATAGCCATGTCCGTCTGTCCGTCTGTCCGTCTGTCTGTCCGTCTGTCCGTCTGTCTGTTTCTACGCAAACTAGTCTCTCAGTTTTAAAGCTATCGGATTGAAACTTTGCACACACCCTTCTTTCCTTTGCACGCAGTATATAAGTCGGAACGGCCGGGATCGGCCGACTATATCCTATAGCTGCCATATAACTGATTGATCGGAAATGCCATAACTTTCGTGTTTGTAAAGTTAGGAAGTTGGGATTTTCTATGGGTTTTATATTTAGCCAATCAATCCGACCTACCAAATTTCATAAGGATCGGCCGACTATATCCTATAGCTGCCATATAACTGAACGATTGGAAATGCCATAACTTTGTTGTTAAAGTTAGGAAGTTCGGATTTTTTATGAGTATTAAGAATGCATCATATGAATAATTTTGGAGAATATAATTTATAGAGTATTCTGCAAGGGTATATCAACTTCGGCTCCGCCCGAAGTTAGCTTTCCTTTCTTGTTTTTATTATCTTAACACAGAATTAATAAACTACCATTATTAGAATTTTAAAGTCTTTTTTAGAAAATAATAATTTTAGATAGAATCATTAATTTACTGTTAAATACAAGTGACTTAATTAATTTTTCTTTTATAAATAATTTATTAAAAATTAAAAACAAAAAAATTACACTTGGTGTCTATTTTGTTAAAACTTTATTGATTTGGCCACATCTTTTGCTTAATCCCAATTTAATCTATTTTGCCTTAGATTAAAGGAAAATTTGTTTGAATTTACAGGTACATAGATTCGATTCGAAAAGTCAACTAACATAAGCCTTTTGCTTAGGGAAAAGATTATTATATTATACGAGAAGGTCGAAAGGACCCAACAGTCAATTGGCATACTCAGATAGAGTGACGAACTTAATTATTGGCACAGCAAGCATGTTGAACTTAAAGGCTATTTTTCTTTATCTAATATGCTGATATTTTAATGAAGAAAAATATTTTTAGATATAATCATTAATTTACTGTTAAATACAAGTGACTTCATTAATTTATCTTTTATAAATAATTTAACAAAAATAAAAAACCCTGAACTAAATAATTGGCACACTTAAGGGGGTGTATACCTTTTTCATTTTCAAAAAATCGAAAATTTTTTTTTGCTTTATCTTAATGAACAACTTCTTGAGAACATTTCCAAATTTTTATAGAGATTTGAGCAGTAGAAAAAAAGTTACAGCGCTCCTAGCCGCGTGCCTCGTCCCCGCCCAAACCCAAACTTAAAACTTTAAACGCGAATATCTCGAAATGGTGTTTTTTGAAAAATGACTTTGCGGTGATATGGATTGGCGAAAAACTACTGAACCGATTCTCTTCAAATTTGTTTTTGAATGTTCGTAATGAATTTTATTAGTACTTGAACGATCGTTTTTTCATGTAAAAATTTTTATTTCGCCGAAATAGATAGTTTTGTAAGAATTTTAGCGTCCAAAAACGTAATTTTTTGCAGAAAACGTTCCCGTATGCACAAAAAAAATTTTTTTTTTAAAACGTTCGTTCAAGTACAGGATACTACTTTAAACTAATGAAATATTTTTATTTTTTCGGTATCAGTTGACCCATTTGTCCTGGGGAATTATCACTGCAAGGCTCTTTAAAAAAAAGGCGTTTAAGGGAAACAGCCACACCTTAAAAACTATTAAATATTTTTTCAAAATTTTTTGCATAATCATTCATTTAATAAAAACAATAAATACATACATAAAAAAATCCAAACTCCTATTTTTTTCGACAAAAAAAGGTATATACCCCCTTAATGAACTATTTTGTTAAAACTTTATCGTTTTGGCCACTTTCTTTTTATTTATCCCATTTGCCGCTATACTCTTAATTGTATAATGATTATTTTTAGAGCTAAAATTGTTTTAGTGCCTTAAAATAAAGAAAAAGTTGTTTGACTTTACAATGTCAAAATTAAATCAACCGCAAATTAAAATTTAATTAGCAGGATCAAGGCCAATCAAATGTCAAGATTGGGGAAAGGATGCCCTTAGCAGCATTGTAAAGAACCCACGCCGTTGCAAAATGCAAGGCACACTGGCCGATTTATGGCTTTGAGTACCCAGGAATGAATAAGGATCACATGAAAGGATAATTTCAAACCCCAACAACTTTTAATTTTATAGCCCTTCGAATTGCCTGCTATGAACTAACTACAAGCAGAAGTCAATTGAGTTTAATGATCAAAAACAATCCTAGTGTTTGCAAAGGAAATTCTTAGTATGCAATATCTTGTCAATGGACAGAGAATGGTAAAATCATATTTTATTACGAGGCAGCTTCTCAAACTCAAGTTAGGTAATCATTAAATACTGAACAATTGAGAAAAGGGAATAAAAATTAAAGCATCATTGTTTCTTAACATATCATTTTTAAATTTTTCAACGAAAATTACTGTTATGATTTTATAAAAATAGGACGACTATGTAAACTTCGGCTTGACGATAAATTTAAAACTTAGAAAACTGAAATTATGAACTTTTTTGTCACAGCTCATTTCAGATAAGCCCGTCCCTTTATCGTAAAAATGTATGGTTAAACATAAAGGTAATATTTCAAGGGGACCTCGTCATATCTAATAATTACTATAACCGCATTTAATGGAAATTTTCCTTCAGGATTTAGTTAAATTTTTCTCTATAATGTGAAAGTATGTGAAGACTTTTTACAGAAAGAACTCTGTAAAGTAAAGCCAGTTAGGAAAAATAATCGCTATAAATAAAGCCAGTTAGGAAATATAACCGCTATTTACTTTACAAAGTTACATCGTAAAAGTACGCTATTTCGACTTTGTTAGTGGCGCAAATCAACAATATATATGTATATATAATGTAGAGTAGCCTTATTTTTGTTTGATTCACAAATAAATCGATAATAAATAATCTTAATTTTTATACAGCGGAGCAAAATATACAAAGGGTCTTATTCGGGTGGATCGAAATCGGATACTCGTGCAGAGCCCCCAAGCTCTGATTTCCGGGCAGGGGGTTCGAGATCAGGTCCACTCGTTCCTCATAATCAAGAGAGAGCCGGAGGTAGCCAGGTACCAGCTGCAGCTCCCAGGCAAGAAAGACGTGAGGAATGTGGTCCTGCAGATCGTGGACCGAGGGGTGATCGTTTTGACATCGTAAATACCCGTCCTGCTGAATTAGTATCTAAATTGGGAAAGGATGGAAGGCCGATTAGGCTGCAAACGAACTTCTTTCGCATAAAAACTAAGCCGGAGTGGCGTATCGTGCATTACCACGTCGAATTCGAGCCGAGCATCGAGAACCCACGCGTCCGGATGGGAATCTTGTCGAATCACGCGAGCTTCTTGGGATCTGGTTACCTCTTCGACGGGTTGCAACTGTTTACCACTCGGAAATTCGAGCAGGAACTTACCGTGCTGCGTGGAAAGTCTAAGCTTGACATTGACTACACAATATCGATCAAGTGCGTAGGATTTATATCGACAGCGGAGCCTCGCTTTTTGCAGGTTCTGAATCTAATTTTGCGTCGCTCCATGAAGGGCTTAAAGCTGGAATTAGTCGGTCGCAATCTCTTCGATCCCTACGCTAAGGTAAAAACTATTAGTAAATTTTGTATTATATTGAAAATGGTATATTTTCAATTTTAGATCGAAATAAGAGAGCACAAAATGGAACTGTGGCCGGGCTATGAAACATCGATCCGCCAGCATGAAAAAGACATTCTATTGTGCACCGAAATAGCTCATAAAGTGATGAGAACTGAAACCATTTATGATATAATGCGACGTTGCTCACAAAACCCGTCTCGGCACCAGGATGAATTCCGTTTGAATGTTTTGGATTTGATCGTTCTTACAGATTACAATAACAAAACTTACCGAATCAATGATGTAGACTTTGGGCAAACCCCAAAGTCAACGTTCAGTTGCAAGGGGAGGGATATCAGTTTTGTGGAGTACTACCAGTCGGTAAGTCGCTCATATGCCAAGAATATAGCTTTCTTGTTTTAACCTATTGCTTTTCTTTTAGAAATATAACATTCGCATACGGGACCATAATCAGCCTCTGTTGATATCGAAAAATAGGGACAAGGCTCAGAAAACTAATGCCAGTGAATTGGTGGTTCTTGTTCCCGAGCTTTGCCGCGTGACTGGGATCAATGATAACATGCGCTCGAACTTTCAGTAAGAATTAAAGCCAATAACGTTATTGTTCTAATGTTGGTTGTTGCTTTCTAGATATTACATATCGCTTTATTAATATTTGTTTGATTTGTGTGCGCATAAGTGGCATATGTTTGAAAAAAAAATTTGCGCAGCGTGGGCAATCCCATAGTGACAGGCAGTTAGACAAATTAACAGACTTCTGATGGTCGAATTATTTTGACCAGCTCTTTATTAAACCAAGCATGCCTCTGGCTTTATTAACTATGGACGAAATCTGATCAGAAAACTTTAGTTCTGAGTCCAAAAGGACGCCAAGATCGTTTACAAGATTTACTCTCCAAAGAGCTGCTACTTCGCGTGAAATTCCCTTATTTGGGATTGACCCGATAAAAAGTCGTCAGCTTGCACTTAGAGCCGGCACCAGTTTTAAAAGTTATCTTAATCGTATTGTAAGTCTAAATGGCAGGAAGTATCCTTTTACTGCAGGCGTAATTTAACATCATCTGCGTACTTAAGTAACTGAGGTTTATAAATATTGTAAACAAAAGCGGGCCAAGATGGCTCCCTTGTGGAACACCAGAGGGAATAGGGAGATTTTAAAAAGTATTTTTTTTCTACAACGGTCGATTATCACTTTGATAGTAGGATTTTCAGGTATCGTGAGTGGTGTTACCCTGGACAGAATCACATCTTAAGGATTTAATACAAAACACAAGTCAAGTAGGCGACCTAGTGAATTTCGAACATTGCTTGCTTAAGATAACGTTCTGATAGAAATGAAGGAGATTGGAAGTTTTTGAAGATGGTACATTGGTTTCGTCTCGACTATGAGGTTTTACTCCCTCGGGCCCCTTCTTTTTTATCTTAGCTTGCAACTATTTTACAACCATTATTATCCGGCCAAATGCGATCTTGAAAGATAATATGTCCCCAGCGTAAGAAAACCTAAACTTTTCCTTCTTCACACTATTGATATAGGTTTTAGTTTTGTCTTGTATACAAGACGATAAATCAGAAGATGTTTGATCAGGGAAAAGTCGAGAAACAAATATTTGTTTCTTCAGTGGAACTACTGAAAGATTTTTGTGCAGCAGACATTGTTTCTGCAGAACATACTTGAGCCGGTAGTTTGGACCACACATTGACACATTTGAACTTGAACTTTAATTAACAGGTTAATGAAAGCCATGGGTGAATACACACGTATGAATCCCAATAGACGCATTGATAGATTGCGCACTTTCAACCACCGCTTGCAAAACACTCCTGAGAGTGTTAAAGTGTTAAGAGACTGGCACATGGATATGGACCAGAATCTAACTGAGGTACAAGGCCGCGTAATTGAACAGCAAAAGATCGTGTTCCATCACGGAAAGTAAGAATAAGAAAATATTAACTGTATTTATATTAATGTATTAACTTAACGATGTTTTCAGGGTTCCTTCTGGAGAAAACGCTGATTGGACAAGAAGTTTCAGAGACCAAAAGATGCTCACCACGCCCAGCGAAGGAATCGATCGCTGGGCTGTAATCGCACCAGAGAGAAACTCTTACGAACTAAAAATTCTGTTAGAGAATTTGTTTAGGGCAGCTAATGGAATGGGCATGAAATTCAGAAGCCCCCATGAGTAGGTTATCAAAAATATCCATACCTCGGTTTGCGGGTGCACAACATTTTTATAACAAGCGTAAATCGAGGTTTTAGGTGTATATTATTTTATTATGGTTTATTTGTACTTTTACTTTCATTTTAATTACAGAGTCAAAATTTATGACGATCGCACGGCAACTTATGTGCGAGCTCTGGATGATTGTGCTCGCATGGATCCCAAACTTATATTATGCCTTGTTCCCAACAACAACGTTGAAAGGTTTATATTCCGGTTTTAAAGTCATTTATTAATATCATTCTTTTAATAATAACATTAACCTTTTTTTTTGTCAATCGTAAGTTTAGTCCGTATATGTTTTAAAACAACAAAGTCAAAACTATTTTCGTTTCTATAACAGCTATATGATATAGTCATTCGATCCCCCCGGTTCGTCATATGTACTTGATAGAAAACAAAAGTTTTATCCAGATAGATGTAAAACAGGGAGATAAGTTTGCTTCGACTGTTAATGAAGTGATCAGGAATATGAATTTTTAGGATTGCAGCTTCTGACTAAAACTACAAACCTTTCTATTAAATGTGTTTACCTGTTTTCAGGGGTTATATATATAAGATTAAATATTATAAAATACTCATACTAAAATACATTTTGTTTATTTCAGATACTCGTCGATTAAAAAGAGAGGATATGTTGATAGAGCTGTGCCAACTCAAGTTGTCACGATTAAAACGGCCAAGAATCGTGGCCTTATGAGCATTGCCACCAAAATAGCAATCCAATTAAATTGCAAGTTGGGATATACTCCGTGGATGATCGAGCTGCCATTGTCTGGGTTAATGACAATCGGTTTTGACATTGCGAAGAGTACACGTGATCGCAAGAGGGCTTACGGAGCATTGGTCGCTTCCATGGATCTCCAGCAGAACTCCACGTATTTCAGCACTGTCTCGGAGTGCAGTGCTTTTGATGTGCTGTCCAACACCCTTTGGCCAATGATAGCAAAGGCCCTGCGGCAGTATTCGCGAGAGCATAAAAAGTTGCCTACGCGTATTGTATTTTATCGAGACGGCGTTAGCTCAGGCTCTCTAAAGCAGCTGTTTGAGTATGAAGTAAAGGATATTGTGGAGAAGTTGGACGCTGAGTACAAGCGGGCCAGTAGCGAACCACCGCAGCTGGCTTACATTGTGGTCACCAAATCGATGAACGCCCGATTCTTTGCCAACGGGCAAAACCCCCCGCCTGGAACTGTAGTTGATGACGTTGTAACTCTACCAGAGCGGTATGATTTTTACCTGGTATCGCAGCAAGTTAGGCAGGGAACAGTGTCGCCGACCAGCTACAACGTGGTTTACAGCAACATGGGAATCAGTCCGGACAAAATGCAGAGGCTTACCTACAAAATGTGTCATTTGTACTATAACTGGTCAGGCACCACACGTGTGCCGGCCGTATGCCAGTATGCTAAAAAACTTGCTACCCTTGTCGGTACAAACTTGCACGCTATTCCGCAGAATGCTCTCGAAAAGAAGTTTTATTATCTATAAATTGATATACCTAAGTTTGAGTTTTGAACGCATATAGGCAAAGAAAGAAACTAGCCTTTTTTGTTTTACCAATATTATCTTATTTTCTTTAGGCATTTAAGTATAAAAGCAATTCGATTTGCACAAAAATTATGTTCCAAAAGCCTTGGATGGAAAAACTAATATCATTACTGCATACAAAAATACATTCGACTTATACGTCTGGTATTAAATCTTAACAAAAATAAAATCTGTTAAATATTTAAATAAACAATAAAAAAATACATCAACTCCACAAAAAGCCCTTTTTTTATTTGGAGTATAATTACTTTATTTATATTATATATTTTACTTTATATAATGAAAAATTACATACATGCGTGTTCGCTTGCTTAAACCACCCAGTCCATGGCTTCTTATTTTCTCGAATCATGCGTTCTTAATTATACAGGTATTTAACTTTCACAAGGATAATACAAATTCATAGCTTGTTGAGTATATTGAAATGCTACAGAGTTCGATATTTAATGTATTTGTTGTATTTACAAAATTCTAAATTATTAATTTGGATAAATGTTTTATATTAATCGTATCGATTGCAAGTTGTGGTAGGATTGAGTTCAGTGATAATATCGATTAATTATAATTTAATATCCAAACACCGACTACTATGATACAGAAGCCCATATCTATTTAGGCCTCGACTCCAAAAGAAGCGCCAAACAGCCAAGTGTTTTGGTTCCTCCTCGATTGTCGTCTAGGCTTACAATTCAAATGCGTTTACTATAGCGATTACTTTAACGATAATTACTCGTTGGTGTATATACAATTCTATTAAAGTTTTGATTTTAGATATATTATTTAGGATTCGGTGTATATTGTATAAAGGGTGGTAGAAAAGCTTTGGTGCTTTTGTGTAATCCAATTGTTTACCACGCCTGGTTAAGACCATCGTATGGATTAATTCTCTTTGGAATTACTTTTTCTTTTTGTTTTTTAGAATTATGTCAGGCTTTAACGAGTTAATCAGGGATCAAGCCGATGTTTCGTTCGGTTCCATCCAGCCCTCGCTGTCGTCTTCACTATCGGAGTCTTCAGACTCGGATAGTTCGATAGCCACACGTCTGGCCAAGATTGAAGCTACATCCAGCGGCGCCGCGTTTCGTTCGATTTCTTTCTGCTCTGACTTTTCAACCTTGCGTAGAGTAATACCTAAAAAATAATTTGAGTACAAAAGTTATTAAAATGCGTAAAACCGTAAAAGGTTTAAGTCCCCGGGTTCAACTGTGATTTCTGTAACTTGGGTATTAAAGCATATTTAATTTTCTTAGTAATACTATTTGTATACCGTCCTTGCAGAAAATATTATTATTCCGATCAATGCAATAAAGGGCACATTTCCGACCCAATAAAGTATATTTATTCTTAGAGAGCATCACTAGTCATAGCCATATCCGTTCATCCTACGCAAACCAGTCTTTCAGTTTAAAAGTATTTGGATAAAACTTTTCTAAAATTCGTGGCATGGTGTATATAAGTCGGAACGGATCGGATTGGCTTACTATATCATATAGCTCCCATAGGAATAATCGGGGAAAATGTGAAATATCAATATACTACGAGATAAAGTATTTTAAAGCCATTTTAGAAATTCGGATTTAGTTATAAAAAAATCGGACGACTGTATCAGAAGCAATCGAAAAAAGGGAACAAAATTATAACTTCGTTGTTTCTTAACATATACCCATACTCCACCAAATCAGTAACGCCTAGTTTCATTCAACTCACCATCACGAATAGCCTTCATTAAATCGTTGCGTGGATCGTAGATTGGAGGCATAATCTTTTTAGGTGCAACAATGTGCGGCACACCATTTTGTTGGCCAACCTGCATTTCACCATTGGCCAGTGATTTGGGCAGAATTTGGTGCGGGCGCAGCGTGTGCTGGTTGCCACTGCCCAAGCCATCCTCTACAGGTGGTGGTGGAGGCGGTGGCGGTGGCGCAGCATTGGGTGGCGACATCTTGGGCGAGTGCTGCAAGGAATGGCAATTAATAAAATGAATTTTTATCCAAGAAACGGTAATGCAAACCTGATCTGGCACTGGCGGTGGTGGCGGCAAGTCGCTAAGAGAGTTCAGTTGGTTGCCCGACATCCCGAGGCTGTGGAAAGTGTTGTTTAGCTGCGTCATGACCATATCATTGGCATTCTGGACGCTGTTGGGAGTCATCTGCGGAGATCCAGCTCCCGACGAACTGTTTGCCCGGCCAAGCAGTTTGACCGCCATGTGGCCACTGTTGGCGCCGTTCATGCCGGACATCGGTGAAATGACGTCTGGAACTGGCGGAGGAGGTGGCAAGGCATCCCGACTGGTCGACATACTTCTGCCCCTTGTCGGAGTGTTGGCATTCGAGGCTGTGGGCGTACCGCCACCGCTGCCATTCGACGGCGGAGCCGGTGGAGGCTGCGAGGGACGCGGCTTGTTGCGCGTCGGTGTGCCCGGCCCGTATATGGGTTCCGGCGACATGACGCCCTGGCCCGTTTGCCCGTAGAGCGCATGTGACTGATACAGCCCGGCGTCGTACATTTGCTGATGCTGTAATTGCATCTGCTGGGGGCCTCCCATGCCGTTTCCGAATGTAGGCGCATACTGATTTCCCATCTGTGGAGGAAGCTGCTCGTAGGTACTACCATCGATCTGCTCGGACTGGTAACTGCGGCGCAATTCAATCGAGTTGGGACGAGGAGGACGAGTCTCATAGACACCCATATCTAGAAAAACGATTTGGAAAAATTAGAGCCATGGACAACAGCACTCTGCAAGCATCGTTTGTACAGGACACACATCTCATTTCAGAACACGCCAATTATTGTGTAATTACACTTGAGGAACATTAACACATGTAATTACAAGCAATTCAGAATTCCTGTGCAGATGAGACTCTTGGCTGAACTAGAATACAAATTTTAGTACATTTTCATACCGATTAACAGTCTTTGGAAGCTCTTTGCACAGAAAACAATTTAGAGAAACTATCATAGAATAAGATGTGGCGACAGAAAGGAATAAGTAAAGCTGCAGATTGACATGTAGACGTAGATGTGGAAATTGACTGAACTACAACAGAAAGATAGGAGGATCCTGAACAAAAGCTTCTGCTCAATCAAAAATCACGATTTTGAAATGAATTTAAACATTAAGCACGACACATTGGGTCTGTAATGTGCAGACACAATATTTAAATATTACAAGATAGGTAAAATATGTCAAATTTTACAGTGTTTTGAGATAATCCTTATGTTTTGCATTAACATGAAACTCATTAAATCGTCGCGACTTCGATTGATAGTTTTAGAGTATTCTCTGTACACACATATGCTAATAAAATCAAAAAGGATTACTAGTAAGATAAAAGGATAGAAGCGTGTGAAAGAACACTTATAGTCTTTACTGAGCTTGCTTTAAGGTGTGTGGATGTCTAACCTGCAATCGCAACGGCGGTTTGCTTGGTGACATTACTGTTTTTCTCCAAATGTGAAAGCATATTATAAGGCTTTATAGTATCTGTAAATGAGATGATTATGCGCGATTGATCCATACATAATTAAAGGGCTTATTACTTTTATTAATATCGTATCGAAAAACAACAAAAAAACAGCATGCAAATTAACCAAAGCAGTGAAAATCAGTCGGCGATTCGGATTATGAAGTTCAATGCAAATCTGACCGAATTAACATGTCTAAAAGGCCCTAAGAACATAGAGGAGCTGGTCTTCCAGAGTACAAATCGAAATAAATATTTTCTGATTAGTTATCCTATATTAAGAGTCAAGTTGTATTATTAAAAGTATCTAATATAAGTTATCTTTAAATTCGAATCCATAGAGTATCACATCCCTAAAATTTTGCTAATAAATCAAAACCATTATAAAGTTATGAAATAAGTTAATGGGAGTACTTTTGAATAATATAATTGTTTTTTCTGCGCTTGCTCTGCATACACTTTTCTGTAAACAATAATAGACTTTTAAACTTTTCGCTGGGACTTTAGTTTAAACTATTAATAAGAGCAGCGCTATGCGAAATTGAGAGCTTGTTTCGGTCACCTCTTTTTTGGTCGTGATTATGTGGGTTAATTCTAATTAACAGCAACTGCAAAAAATGGTATTAGTGATCCTCGATCTGGCTTTGGAGGATTATCGAAAACTAGCGAGTGAAGTAAGTAAATGAATGGCGGAAACATCTGTATCGTGGGATGATAGCCGGGCACAAATAAAAGCTACGTGGCCCCATCATCGTACCTACGTCTTGGATATTACCGACAACTTGGTGGTGCGCATCGAGAGTGCTTTGCCGCAAATCGATGTCAACCTCGCTCACAGTCTGTATTTTGACTAGCTGAACTACACGGGCAGACAGGACATAATTGATAATTAAAATATACCATTCTATTGCAAGACAAGTGCAAATATTCAGTGCGTAGATCAAACGTTCCAATAGCAGCCTATTAATTTGGTTCGCACTGAGTACTTAGCTCTTCCGCTAATTAATCCCTTTGCCGAGTACTTACTTCCGTATCCGGCCTCCTCGTTGACCATGGAGTTTGGAGTGCGGTAGATGACGTTGTTGGGCATCAAAGTCTCGCCATGCACCAACGCACGCTGTCGTTGCTGTTCCCGTGTATTGTGCGGCACCCTTATCTTAGTCTTCTGCTTCTTGTTGCCACGTCCAGCGGCTCCGCCAGCACCTCCTTCCTGCCGCGGTCTGTTTAGCTTCTTGCCCTTGTCGTGCATCACGCGCTCGGTGTCCTTCAACATCTCTTGGCGCCACAGCTCGAAGAAGTAGTTGGGATCCGTGTAGAACTTGAGTCCATCCTTGCCATCGTCCCTGTAGACATTGAGCTTGTCCAGTGGCGGCGGCTTGTCGCACTGGGCGTATGTGTCCATCATGGGCGCCGGCATGGTGGCGCGGGAGAAGATCTGCTGGTCGAACACCTTGGCCGACTTAAAGGCCTTCTTGCGGGTGATGTCCGTCAAGGGCACCTCCTCCACGGTGCTGTCCAGCTGGGTGACCTTAACGGCCAGACGATCGATACGCGCCTGCAGAGAGTTGGCCCGATCCCCGATATTGCCCACATCCCGGGCCAATTCCCCGAACACATCCTCGGCGTGCTTGGACAGCGAGGACAGCTGGCGGATGATGTTTGTCAGAGTGGTGTTAGTGACCGTCTCCAGCTCCACGGACTGCAGCTCATCCTGCTGGTAGACTGACCGGGCCACATGGACGGGCTCTATCGATCGTTTAGGCAGCGGCATGGTCGGGCGCAATTGACAATTATCTCCAACTTGACACACCCGTGAATTATAGCGTCCTCATTGACTGAAATACAAAATGTTAATTAATCAAAAATTCAAGTGCGTTCAATTAATCTAGTTTTTGGGATGTTATTACATTATATAAATGGCTAATGCTTTTTTAAATTGAAAACGCTAGATTTTGCTTTTATTATTAAATTGTGTTTTTAAACAGAATTCCGTTACAATAAGAATTTTTTTTTATTTGTATTTATTAAGTCCTTTTATTCATTATGAGAAGCTTAATATCCTTATGAAAGTAGAATTACAAAATTTGATATAAAAAATTTGTAGTGTTAAAGATTAGTGTCTAACCTTGTTACAAGGTGTTGAAGTATGATTTTCTTATACGTTTATTTTCAATTGAGGTAAGCTCTAAAGACTTTTATACGTCGGATCAAAATCAGTACCTCATTTCCGATCAAATTTTGATTTGCTACTTTTGATGTTGGTCAAGACTTTAAACCCGATTTGATACACATTGTTTCATTGTTACAATATAACGTTATAAAATTAAGTGTATCAACAATTCAAATATAAAAAAAAATATTTCAAAGAATTTTTGTAAATTAAAGTTTGTGCCAAAATTAAGGTTTAGATCTACATATTTTAAAAGCAAAAAAGGTAAGAGGGGGCTTAGAAATGTGTCACTGCTGCTGAACCGCAAACTGAAAAAATTGATAAAAGCTTGATAGGTGGTATCGTAATAGATTCTATTGAACTGTTTTCTGAAATTATTTAAATACATCACTTGGGCACTTTATCACTTAAGATACCCAGTCGGTATTTGAATTATTTTGTGATATGCGCGACTGGAGAATTTAACGTCTGGATCTGGACCACACCCCACGGAAATGGGGTATTTACAGAACGGTGATAAGAGCGTAACGCCCAAGTCACCCCCGCAAGATTCATTCACGTTCGCAGAAAGATTAGTCGATAATGCGCCCCTTTTGGTGGCATTATCTGGGGGCTCCGACCTGAAGGCTTTACGTGGGCACCTATGTTCGTATACGTATATCTTTAGGCCTCCCACCAACGCAAATTAGACGGTCACGCACACACACACAAACTCAAGCGCCCATGTACGCGACTGTGTGTGTGTATGACTTTTGGGGCGACTTTACGCGATTTTCGCACTGGAACATTTGCACTAAATCGCAACAATACACACATCTCTCTGTGCAGGCACTTTCTATTCGCAGTGTTGTTGCATGGTGGCGACTTCGATTTTAAACACTCGACCAGCTCGGTTCAGTTCACATCACATTCACACCTATCACTACGCACACTCACCGCCCGTCACACTTTTCGCTTCGCAGCAGGCACCACAACAAACATTAAACAGCCACTTCCGTTTCGGGGGCTCGGTGTCAAATTCGATTCAATGAAAACTCTAATTAGCCAATTTGGGGCTTGAAAAATGCAAATATTTGCTCGTTTTGTGGAAACTAAGATTTCCACACCTTTGCAGTGTGACCGCCTTTCTGGCGTTTGAAAATACCCTAGGGCTTCATTAACACAATAAAAAAATATACCACTCTGTATATAACAAGTATTTTAAATTATAATTTTGAATTTAGACTACTATGGGCAGGTTTTCCGAGTACGTGCTTACATTTCTCAGACAGATAAATGTATGAAAATTTGGTTTCATCAAACGTTTTTGTGAGACCCTGGATCTTGATGAATGAATTCTTTAAAACTTCCGCTTTTTCCGCTTTAAATTATATTAGCTTAAATGTAATTTGTATGAATTGTATTCACTTTCATTCGAGTACAGTTTGGGATGAAAATGATCATATTTAGCCTTTCAGTAATATAACTGACACTAAATAGGTTTTGGTAGTTTTTAGTATACGTCCGCCAATCGATAAGTGCTCCTCCAGCCCTGGTCTAGATCCATAACATCTCTGTTTCGTCGCACACTGAATAGGTAAGGTTTTCCCACACATTTCGCGAAGTTCCTCTTGTATAATTCCAACTATTTGTAGAACCAAATTAAAAAGATGGCGAGTTTGGCTACTAAGGGATCAGGACTTGTGAACAGTAAGTGTCGCAATTTAAAAGCTAACGGTTTTGTGTTCCACCAACTGCGCCTACTAAGCGAACAATTATGTAATGATCATTTTTGCAGGGCTCCTTACTCAGGCACGACCACAATTGGATGTGTTCCTGAAGTACGCCAAAGTGGAGCTGACGCCCCCGACGCCCGGTGATATCCCGGCCATCCGACAGGGCCTCGGCAACATTATCAAGGGAGCCAAGACCGGCGCCTACAAGAACCTCACTGTTCGCGAGGCCTGGCTTAACACCCTGGTGACCGCCGAGGTCATCTTCTGGTTCTACATCGGCGAGTGCATCGGCAAACGCCACATTGTGGGCTACAACGTTTAGTCTTACCATAGTCTCCGCTTGGCAGTCACTGGAACGGGAATCGTAATCTTAAATCAGATGTGTATTTGTATATCTGTGAACATTTCGACACTGAATAAAGTGAAATAGTAACTTAAAATTCCGAAAATGTTCGAAAAACAATATTTTTGGACAACTAAGTCTGGAATAAAATCACTAATTGGACATCACTTTCACTTTTCTAGTTTAGAAATCTAGATGCACAAATTAAGCGGTGAAGAGTAAATAAGTTTATTTATTTTGTATCATTAAAGAAATATTAATTTGTACTGCTGGTACTGTGGTTTACAAGATATTGTCCTTTTAAAAGTAATAGTCTTGCACAAAAAGAAAGGATTTTTCTAATTAGAATCGCTGTAACTCTGACAGGAACTGATATAATTTTAAAAGGGTTAAGTTTTCTAAGTAATGAAGTTTTTAAAACATACATTTTAAACTCTTCTAGGTGCTCACGTAGGGAATTTAAAAGTTAGGGCTTGATAGTGATTTGATCAGCTCAAAGAGAAAATACAGATTCAAGTTTCCCTTTTTTATGATGAAATGGCTTCCTCCCAAAACTCTGCTTTCTAAATATAAACTTTATATCGTAGACGAAGGGTCTTGTTTTAAACTTGAATTATCCTTAAGGTGCTTAATCTTTACTTTTAAAGCTTTTAATATGACATTTTTAAGCAAGAAAGGTAAAGTCGTATATTTATTTTAAGAATGTTTGTCTAAACAAATATGAGAGGCATAAAGTTTGGTTTTCTTATACCTTAATGTTAACCAAATAATTTAAAAATAAAATTAGAATAAAAATGTATATTTAAAATAAATTCAAAATCGAAAGCTTATCGATAGTGATAATTTCAGAAGTATACTTTGGGAGTCTAGCTTTGGTCACACTTAAATAATAGTTTTAAGAGTTGCGATCGGAAAGGGAACTATCTTTTGAGGAAAAGCGCCAAAAAGGTCGAGCCGGTTTCCCAGGAATTGTAAGGGCTCCTCCATGGTCAGCCAGAATGGCCTACGAGCGGCGCCTCCGATCGCAGAACCTCGTGCACCTGCTGCAGAACCGAGAATCCGGCTACACCTGCGCGGGCAGCCAGCTGGGCAGGATGCCCCGCTTGGCTTTCGAGCGTCCCTTCTACAAGTGTATCACGCCCTGTCTGACCATTGACTCGGTGGCGATTCCGCCGGTTTACCTGCGCAAGTTCACGCCGGACGGAAGCAAACTTCTGGCCTTCTCGCAGGATCAGCGCAGCCTGCACATCTACCGCTACAGGGGATTCAGCTGCGCCGCCGTGGGCGAATTGATCCGCCAGGCGGACGTGGGCAGTGGCGAGTGCTTCAGCAGCCCGGACAACATCCTGAAAAGCACGATCTTCGAGCGCCTCTTCGACACAAAGAAGGCGCTCAGTCTGCGGCTGTGCCAGGGCGACTATAGCCTCTACTATCTGCACCGGGAGTTCAGCGTGTTCCTGGAGGAGGGCCGGTATGTCCTGCTGGCGGCCATGGCAGTGCTGCGCGGTGCCCTGCCCACCGATGACTATATCCGGTACCCGGATCTTTTCGATAAACTGGACGCCTTTTCGTATGTGTTCTTTGTGGTGGACCTGAAACTAGGCGTGGTGAGCGATCGTCTCTTCCTGCCGCACGACTCCATCGTGATTGCCCACAATCACGGCATTTCGGTCTTTGGCTCCACGGTGGCGATCATGTCGCGTCTGCATCAGTGCATCTACGTCTACTGGGTGGCGGACGGCAAGTTCCACGAGCAGGAGACCATTGGTCCCCTGCCTCGGAACTTCATAGAAAAGGCTCCATCAGATTTTGACACTCTAGACGCGACATTGGTTCGGCCCATTACGCACATAAAACAGCGAGTTCTAAGCTTCCTGTATCGCCAAATTGATCCCAACTGCTCTAAAGCGCAGGAGAAACGCCAGGAGTTTTATAAAAACTTCGAGTTTGTAAGTATAATTGTGATTTCCTTCGATTTTCCAGTACTCAGGGGTGACTTAAAAATCTCTTTTAAAAGTTTTAACAATTAAACATAGAGAAATTTTTTTTAAAGAAGACGTTTAAAACCAAATTTCCCAGAAAAACATAAGAGAATTCTAAGCCTCCCTGATTATAATGAGAACTTTATGTTTAATCCAAACTCTTTCAAAAATGAATTCAAAAAAAAACAATATTATGTCTTAAATATTCCTCTATACCCTTAAAGCAATAATATCCATTAAAATTTAACTGTTTCATTTCAATGAAAAGATAATTTTAAAAATGTAAAAGTTATTTAAAAACGTATAAATCGATTCTTCTTAAATAAGAAAATATAAAAGACTGGGAGCAATAACACGTCCCTCTTTTTAGGTAGAGCACATGATTATGGAAAGAATGCAACTGGTGAACAAGGAACTTCTTCTGTTGCGCTACGAAGAAAGGCCAAAAGACAGTGAAACGATTGCCATGGCCCCAACACCCCGCCGCTTATATGTTTTCTACACGGTATCTGGTGAGGAAGTGGTGGGCGTGTATCCTGACTATTCGGTCGACCTGCTCCAAATCATTCTGCAATTCTACGATGAGATGAGCAATGTGCGATCGCTGCAAACTGGAGATGCGCCCTCATTGCCGCTGCACTTCTTTCTAAAGCAAAACTTCGTAGATGCCAACGAGTCGATTCCCTTCGTCCGACAAGCGGCGTTGCGCTTCAACCCCAGCGTGCCCGTCAGTTCCCAGAGCCTTTCGCCATCGCCCTATCTAAGGTTCAACGAATTCAGCTTTGACGATCGCCACGTATCGCCGCTGGAGCGACCCAATCCCTGCTCCGCCGAGCCCATTGTCTTCCGAGATCGGACCACGCAGTCGGTGAAGTTTAGACTGCACGCCGCGGCACGCAAGTTTATCAATCCTTTGGCACCGCGGGAGCTGTGCGCCTTCATTTGGCATCCGTTCGAGCCCCTGGTGCTCAGCATTCAAAAATGTTTGAACAGTTACGTCTATCACGTACATCTATACAATCACAGCACAGTAGTGGATCATTCAAGTGCCTGATAAGTATGTATATTTATATATATCATACATATAAGCTTGTTTTATATTTATAATATATGTGTTATAATTACATACATTCGATATAAACAATCCAACCTGAAATGCAATCATAATTAATAGCTAAATATTATTATTTGGACATACCAAATAACGATTCCTTTCAAAAGAAGATACTTAACTGTACATACTTTTAAGCTGTAGTAAACATTATTTTGAGACTTAAGACTCGTACAAATATTTAATTTTCATGAATTTCAGAGTCTTTAACTATTTTAGGTGATGTGAATAAACAGTCCTTTATTTTTTGTGAAAGAAAAAAGCATAATTTCTTTAATTTAATGATAATTTCTTTGAATTTTTTTTTTTTTAAGCCAGACAAACACACTAAATAATGTTTCCCTCAAAAAATAGGTTAAACAATTATTATATTTTTTTTATTCTCATTAAACTTTGTTTTGGAATTAAAACTCAGAAAAATATTTCCAATGGGCTTCACATTTAGTTCCTCGACTAAGTTGTGTTTGTGTGGTGGCCATCCTCGTTGTATTCCTTGTTGACCTTAAGGGAGTGATTGATAACGCTGGAGCCACCTGGAGGATACGATGGACCTGTCCCTGGTCCGGAAGCAGGTTGCTGTGACGAAGCCTGATTGGGGGGTGAGCCTGAATTCTGTCCTCCCGTCTGGGGTGGATATCCTCCTTGATAAGCTGGAGGATACTGGGGATACATCGGCGGTGGAGGAGCCTGTTGCGGCGGCAGAGGAGCCTGTTGCGGCGCCGGAGGAGCCGTTTGGGGCGGCGGAGGATTCGAATAGTAGCCAGGCATTGGCGGTTGGGGGTACGGATAGGAGTAAGTTAGGGGCTGTGGATACGGCGGCATTGGCTGATACGGCGGCATTGATTGATATGGCGGCATTGACTGATACGGCGGCATCTGATTGTAGCCATATGGGTAAGGAGGGTAGGGATAGCCATTAGGAGTCGGATAGGCGGGATAGTTGTACTTGTGTCCCGTGGACTTGTGCTTGCTCTTGCGCTCCCCGCTGCTGCTGCTGTCGCTATCGCTATCACTGTCCGCCCGGACCACTTTGGCGCATTGACATCCCAGTACCAGGAGGACTCCAATCGCAACCCAGTTTCTCATTTTTTGAATTATCCGCCACACGTTCTTATAATCTGAGCTCACGGGCTTGACTAAATCTTAGACATGATAATACCTTGTCCGTTCAGACAATCCAAATAACTAGCTCGTGCGTTGTTTTTGATAAGTAGACAAAACATACATATGTATTTACATCTCCGACAAGGTTTCGGCCGGGTTCACTAAATTAATTCCCTTTAAGATTTAAATATATCATAATAATATATAAAATGGGAAGCGAACATAACTATTCCGTATAATCTAAAGGCTTAAAACCAAACATTAAATAGGTTATCGTTCTTAGAAAATACAAAAATCATAACAAGATTGTAGTCAAACCTATTTTTTTAAGTGTCAGTATGATGCAAGAACCGAGAATTATATATTGTATATATGTATATACTTAGCTATTAAGTGTCGGAACAACCGCATTTCCTCTAGACTTATGTTATTTAATTCAAAAAGCTTGTGTGTGCTTATCAACTTGACCATTTGACAGAAATGAATGAAAACAACACATACAATAAATCTAAATAAGAAACTAGAAAGTTTAAGTAAAATTTAAAAATACCGCAAGATACATAACGCATTAAATAGGTTTTAATAAATTGGATGAGCGAGTTAAACTATCTTTTAAGTAAACGTTGTTATCATCTTGCTAAGTCAATAAACCGGATGCTGCTGGTAATTGTTCATTGGTTTAGGTCGTACTAAACTATGCCTTGGTTATAAATAACTTTTTGAAGATTAGGTTTTGGGAAAACCCCACACATTGATCCATGGCCACAATACTAATAAGTACATATGTGCATAAATATATTAGAAGGAGTGTGTTAAGTAAACATTGGCTCGTGTCGAATAAATTCGAGTGTTGAATTATAAATATTTTCTTCATTTGCAGTTTATAATAAGAGGTATTTGCAACAACCACACATAAAATGTTTTTGATTGTTTAGAGATAAATGCTGCAGCTCTGTTTTTTTTTGTGTGCCTATTTTTTATTCGATATATATATATATACTTAACAAACTATTGAATAGCTATCCGTTTTAGTTTTCCCCGTTTTTGCTGACAGCTGCTGAAGCCTTGATGCGATTCTCCTTGACCAGCTTGCGCCATTCCAGCCACTTGGCCAGCTCGGGCTGCTCACTGCTGCCACCCTGCTGCTCCAGCTGCATGTAGTAGGCCTCGCGCAGAATTTTGAAGGCCTGGATGCTGTAGTACGGCTGCTGGGTGACCGGGTCGAAGTAGCGGGCTGGCAGTCTGGTGATCGGACAGATGCCATTACTGACTTTAGGCGCCGGCTTGTGACGGAAGATGTTCTGGAACACCTTGTCGTTGAAGTCGTTCTCGACGGTGACGAATGTACGCTCACACTTTCCGGCGGAATCTTTTGAATCGACGGGATGATTGGATCCGCGAGTGGGCTTTCGCATGGCGGGCATCGTCAATGAATGGTATCGAATCGTGGGACCGGTAAACGTGCGCTTGGTGGGACGCGATTTCTTCTTCTCCAGCTCCATTTTCTGAAACTTTTCTGCCGTTTCGAAAGAAAAGTGTTTTATTAATGCGTCTGCGGAAGTGTTAGATACCCACCTAGAGATTTAATGTTCTCCTCTTCGGTTATTTTGGCCTCCTCCAGCAGCTCCTCCTGTGTGGGCATATAGTCCTCCACACGAACCTTCTTCTTCTTGCGCTTGCGGGCATCGTCCAACTCCTTTAGTCGAATTTTTGTAGCCTGTGTCTTGATTGCCGTGGAAGTACGTATGGATTTGCGTCCAGAGTCAAGGACCGTGAATCGGGGTCGTACACGCCGCTTGACCACTCCACCTCCAGCTCGTTTTTTGTGCAAGGCGGGTACGGCCTTTGTTTCCTTCTTGGCGGCCGGCTTAGTTTCCTAAAGGAGTCAAGTTATTAAAGCATGTTCCAAGTTGTTCTTTTAAGGCGTTACATAGGGTTTACTATCTTAAAATACCTATGCCCTTAATATTTTAAATAAAATGAAAAAAAATGAATACATTTGGTAATTTGAGAAATTAATTTAGGAACATTTTGCGACTCTAAAGTAGTTCACTAGTTGATATATCCCTTTCCGTTTAATTCCTATGCCGTTTTTGAGCTTAGCTTAAGAGCAAGGGACTTGCATTTTTTGGAATCTTATTAATATTATTATTTAAAATCCAATATCAAATAGCTGCCATATTTCTGCTATTCTGCATAATGGTATAGTTGCCATAGGAACCAAAGACATCACAAGAATCTGAACCCAAAGTCCAAAATCCTAGCCCCTATATAGACGCATAGTCTATATTATTTTTACTTTATAGGACTGGCAACTGTTTGCTACCTGTTGCATCGCTTTCAACAAATGCAATACACCCTTTTGCTCAAGGAATATGTAAGCCCATAACCAAAAAGTATTCTGAGAGTGAATCGCACCTTGTAAGCCTTTGTGTTGACGCCTCCGCGTTTTCGCTTCTTGTCGGGCGCGTCTTCCTGATCCGAAACCAGTTCATCCTGCTCGTCGATACTGAAGTCCGAGTCCACAACATCCTCCTCTTCGTCCTTTTGTCTGGGGAATCTGGGATTTAAATGGTTCTATATATCAGAATATCTCCAAAACTCACTCATATTCGTGGTCCTCTTCTTCGTCCTGAAATCCGCCATAGGACGTTTTGTAAAAGTCGTCTTCTTCCTCTTCATTCAGTAAATGGGCTATTTTGTTACCGGCATTGTTACGCCGGGAGCGTGAGGCAGCCATTATTTCTTAATTTTAATCGGAAACCTTTTTAAATGCAGTATTTATCAACTAAGCGTTTTTCAGAAAAATGTAATAAATGTAAACAAGCCATACAATGTGACCGATGTACGATAGTTCAAAATACCACTTAAGGTTGACAACTTGGATAAGCGTTTCATTTAAAAAATTTTGACATCCCTGATAAATGAAATTTGAAATGGGTTTCCGAAGTTTTTTCCGGTCATTTTCAGTTAAATGAGGTCTGTTTCGTGTTCACAAAACTTGTTAAAAACGTATAACAACTCAGTTACAATCACAGTATATTGTTTCTTATTTTTTGGTTTTTCCGCTACTGCTAATAACCTTTCCACTAATCAGCCACATCACATTAACGCCGCTAGCCAACACTGTTTCCATCGGCTTTGCTTGCTTGTTGCTTTTTATTCTGCCGGCGCCTGCATTTGATAATTTAATTTAGAACCACCAATTAACCGGACTGCACTCAACATGTCGGAACAGTGGGAGGTGGTCTCCAAGTCGCGCAAGCAAAAGAATCTGGACAAAAAGGTGATCGCGCACACGGAACAAAAGCGGATTGCAGCCCAGTTACCGAAACTCGAGGAGCTATGTAAGAAGTTTAAATAGAGTGCAACTGGCGATGCGTTTACAAGTTCCCCCTTTATCTTCCCACTCCACAGTGCCAACTCAGCGGTACCGCAATTTGTTCGGCTCCAGCGGCAATAACAACAACAAGTCCCATTCCCCTGCAAAATCTAGTTCAAGTACCTCGTCTTCCTCGAAAACCAATAAATCGCCAGTGAAGAAGAACCTCACGAAGAATGCTGGTGCCTTGGTTCCGAAAAAGTCAACGTCGTCATCCGTGGCAAAGCCGAAGACCTTGGAGCAGGCCCTAAGGAACATCACCCGGGATGACTTTGCTGCCCAACTGGAGCAGGTGAAGCTCAGTTGTCCTGGATCCGAGCTGCGGTGGCTGAGTCATGTAGGTGCTCCATGAGATGCCCCATAGAACCAGCTAAGCAATATCATTTCTCTCCAGATTGCTCTCTACTTTAATGGCGCCCTGTCCTACGAGTGCGATCCCATCTTCTCCGGCCGCTCGGCTCAGTATCCAAGCAACTTGGCCAGTGCCTCGCTCAAGTACTCGATTGTGGAGTTCCTGGGCAGCGTGGGCGAGCAGAATCTGGAGTACTTCTTCTACTCCCTGCTGGACAGCATGGCCACGGATTTGAACAACAACCAGACGGTGGCCGGTTACAAGCTGATCCTGCAGTTGATCGGTCAAAATTGGCCGAGCATTTGCTCCCGGAACCTGGCCAAGACTGCGCTGCTGCGGAATTCCTACCAAAATCGCAGCAACATATGCCTGAGCATCCTGTGGGCCATTGGCCAGGGCGGCTACCAGTCGCTAAACGAGGGCGTAAGAGTGTGGCAGAACCTGATGCTGCCCAACCTGGAGCTGAAGCAGTACACCAAGTTTGTGGTGGAGTACATGGAGCGGGCTCTGAGTGCGGCGGCAGCTAAGAAACCTGTGGACCCGTTGCAGCTGAACCAGCAGGAGTTCTTTGCCACCTACAATGCCCTGAATGCGCCTTACAACAACCTGCAGAAGGAGTGGCAACAAAGTCTGAAGCGGAGCGCGCTTTTGCTGCTTGTAAGCCCAGATGGAGTTGCTTAATGTTGCATATTATAACTGACTTTTGTTCCCTGTGCCTTTAGCAAAACTATATTGATAGTCCCGTGAAGCATGCCAATATATTCCTGACGCTCTTCCGCGAAATCAGCGGAAATTCCAAGCAGAATAACGAGATCGAAGGCTGTATTAGTTGCCTGCTTAGCAGCGGTCGGGATGATTGCCTGAGGGTGTGGCGCATGAACTACAAAAAGCAACAGTTGCCTAGTCTATTGCTACTAAAAGCTATAGGTAAGGCATACATAAATGATTTTTAAAATCGTCTGAGCCATTCACTTCCACCATTCGCTATTTACGGCACGTCTGTTTTTAATGACCCATCTCACCTGAAAAATGTTGAAGTTAAACTAAACTGTTGATTAAACTAAAGATAATTTCAAGCCACATTTTATCCAAAGCATTAATATTGACCATCCTTTTTAAGACGAAAATTGGACGACGTCTACCCACGAATTGGCTACGTCGTCCGTATTTCACTCTTTTCTACAAGATGTGGATAACCTTAACGACGAACTTCAAGCGAGCAAGCGAAAAGAAGGCAGCTTAGAGGGCTTGAAAGAAGTTTTGCTGGTAAGTGCGGTTCAAAAAACAGAATTTTTTTAAAATTTATTTGCCTTTTAAATTCCTATCTTATCTATTTTAAAAATATATACATAGAGGAATAACTCTATTTATTTCAATTGTACTACATATAATGAGTCGATATTTCATTTGAAATGATCTGAATGATTATAAAAACGATAAAATTAATTGAAAATTTCGTGAAATGCTAACTTGCTAACATTTTCGAGTTTTAAAGACTTAAATTTTTTGCCATTCTGATTAAACGTCTGGTCACACTGTAAAGTGGTTATCGCTGTTTACGAATTTGTTCCATCCACAGTCTGGTCACATCGCTCTCGTGAAAAGAAAAACGAAGGTATAAATTTGTGGAACTGACAAGCAAAAGTGAATAATTTATTGCAATCATTGCTAAAAAGAATGAATTGGGCTGATTAGACTGCAGGCAGTGAACGTACACCCATTTAGGTAGAAAAACCAACATATTAATCTGCTAACCAAACCCAATTTTAAAAGGGACGCTGCCAACGCGACGTCGCTGCCAGAAAGAGACGGAAAAGCCAGCCGGCGTTCTCCCGAAATTTCTCCCCATTTCAACTGGCTTTTCATCGAGAGTGAGCATAAATTAATGGTCCGCACCTTAATTGTCGGGCTTACATTGTTGTTATTGCAGTGCAAAGTGCGTTTCGGCCGTATGTGTGCGTGTCATCATTAACGGTGCTGCATGCGTATGCGTGCGCCCCTCTGACTTCGTATTGGTGGCAGCTATAGCTGCACTTTTCCCCATAGCGTTGCCATGCGGGTTCCAGTTGCCGCTAAATTTCTCCGAGCGGACGTGTTGCTTTCGAAAAGAGAGATTGGGCATCATAAATCCCATTTATCAGGCAACATTCGACCGCGTTCTTATCAGCACGCCCAATTTTCGATGATCTGGCGTGGCGGCCAAGCCGGCGGCATCACTTTTTTTTTCCTATTGCCTGATGTGTTCCAGCTGCGATTGGCCATCCGCTGGCCGCTCTTCTCCGCTCCCCTCTTGTTTGCCGATTGTGCGCAATCTTCGCACCCCTCTCTCCGCACTCTCACTCTCATTGCACAGTGGTGCAGCTTGGCGCTCTCCTCACCTGAAATTCTTCCGATGCCACGATTGCGAACCCGAAGGTCCAAAAAGAATTTAGGCTGCTTCAACACGTGGCATGTCCACTGTGACCCTGATTCTTGCCGGCCATCTCAGTGGTTTTCATTGCCTTTCTTTCTTTTCCTCCGCAAGCACAAAAGCGAAGAAATTTAGAGGCCATAAGCCATAGTTCATTCAACTCTTCTGACTTTATAGAAACATATTCATATGTGGAAGATTTTGTAAGCGTAAAATTTCTAAGCGACCCAATATGTGTTAGCTCAGATGAATCTTATTTTAAAATTACTTTTTTTTTACTCTTGAATTATTTAGAGGCCCTATCCCAAAGTTCACTCAATTTTTCAAATTTTGTTAGACAAACTTATGGAAAATTATTAAATATATGGCAAGAAAAGTCAGTTTTGTTAGCAGGGATAAAGCAGTTCGAATTCTTGACCAGCATCACCCGGCGAGTCGATCTAGCCATGTCCGTCTATCCGTTTCTACATCATTATATCGCTTTCAAAGAAATAGTCGGGTAAAAAGGGTCAATACAATTATAAATGCCTTGCTTTTTAACATATATCCACATATAAGGTATAGTATTTCTTAGCCAGTTTTTCAATAATCGGACGGCTATTTCATATAGCTGCAATAAGAACACTCGTAGAAAGTGGAAATTAAAATTAAAATTAAATTGTTTAACTTCGTTCCTTTCTTATTTTAAATGAGGGCAATAATTATTTCATATACAAATTGATTGAGTAAATTGAATAAAAGCGTTTTGGTTCTTATTTATGGGTTTGAGTTTCTCATTTTTAAGGCCCTCGATACGACGATGTAAGCTCTAATGCAGTAAAAGCAAGTACGCATATTGAATTTCAAGATGTAAGCTGGAACATCAAATCTAATTTTGATCATCTGAAAAAATGGATTGAGTGCACATGTATATGTATTTAAAACTTTTTTAATTATCCCCACTCGCGATATTAGCTTATTCTCACATCTTAGGTCATCGCGCTCTTATCCCGCTAAGCATTCGCAAGCAACCTTTTTTTCAGTAGCTAAAAAAGCTCGGTTTAAAAGCTTGCAAAGCCCATCATTCTTTTTAGCAAACAAGATTGCAATGATAAACACAATAATTAATTCAACATCTTTTGTGAACAGCTGAGGAAATCTATAAATACTCTTTGCTAATCGAAACTAAGTGAAATTAATTAGAAAATGGCTCAGGTTAAACCGAAAAGTAACAAACAGGGCGGCAAACCAGCGCCGACCGCCAAAAAGGTAAACGCGACTCTAGCAAATAACGCCGTAAAATAAGAGTAGCCTTGCCTTAACTCCTTTCTGATTATATTTAATTTTTGTTCCCAAAAGAGCGTCCAGGAGAAGAGCAGCGCGCAACAGAAGAAGAACAAACAGAATGCCGCGGCACAGAAAAAGAAATGCGGATGCTGCAAGTGGACGTTGGGCAGCATTTTCGTCATCGCCCTGATCGCCGGAGCTCTGTTCTACGACACCGAGGTGAACGGCAAGGGAGTGTTTGAGAAATCTGCCACTGGCAAGGTGCTGAAGAACGCCGGAGTGCTGCCTCATGTCCAGAAAACCTGGTACACGGTCATGGGAGCCGGAGCCCGGGGCTACAAGTGGGCGGAGGTGAATGTTCCGCCGTACGCGGAACCGGCGATCAAGACCACCGGCGACCTGTGGAAGCTGGCGAGGAATGCTGCCTGCAACGTCTACCAGAACGGCAAGGGTTACTTCGGCGCCAAGTGGCCCGTCGTGGCCAAATTCGTAAGTGTCTTGAAGATGAGATCATATCACGTTTGAATATGCAAAAACCAGTTTTAAATTAATCTCAGTACTACTTTCGGACTCCATTCTTAATATGTTTCTATTCTGTAGATTGACCAATACGTGCCCAATTTGTCTGGCAAGATCGAAGCCTTTGCTGCGGGCGTGAGCGATTTTGCCGTCAGCAGCTACGACAAGTCTGCCGCGCTTATCAAGGAAAAGGTGCTTGTGTAAGTTTGAAGCGCATTAATTATTTCAAGAATCCATTATAACTATGACGTTTTATTAGTGGCCGTCTGTCTCCCGAGAACATCAATCAGGCGCTGAACCAGACGCGTAATGCCGCTCTGGAGTACTACAACCAGTTTCACAAAAAGGTCGACGCATACGCCAAGCTCAAATGATTCTAAGCGTCAGGCACGCTTACCTCTCGAACAGCAACATCATCAGCAGCTGCAGCAGAAACCAACATAAAAACGCGTCATAGTAAATAGTGAAGGAAACCCTAATTTTTCGCAATTAGTTAAAAAAAAACAGAAAATGTTTTATCAGTCGAAACTCAAGAAGCCATTCACATTCATTAACAACAACTTCTCGTCAAGTCTAATTAAGAAAAAGCAATACGAGCAAATCTTTGTGGATGCCGACAATGTACACTAACAACCTAGTAAATTCAACCTCTATACTGATAAATTAGTTAAAAATTCTGTTGTACAACATGTGTTTAAACATTTTTCTCCGAGAAGAGAAACAATTTTTTAAATTTGTTTACAACGGTTTGAGAGTTTTGTAAAAATTTCGAAAATCAACAGCTACGAATCTTGTAATTGTAATTATTTAAGTGCGTTTTTTGTGGCGATGCGCGAAGTGTTAACTTAATTATGATAACTGAACTTAACAATTCCAACTGCATTTTGAAAGCAAACAATAGATTCAAATATTTTTATACTTTTACTCATAGTTTTCTTACTTTTGTGTGTGCATTTTTCAAGACTCCCCCAACATTTGCATTAAAGCGCGATCTTTTTGATTCGATCTAAAATCTCATTTGTAGATTTAATGGAATACACGATTTTGCATAAATAAAATAAAGTTGAAAGAAGTGAAGTACAGAATAATATTTGTTTTTCTTAAGCCTTTGCCCCCATTTCCCCATAACACAACAAAAAGCTATACTTACTGAAATTTGAAGTGTTAACTTGTACCACTCGACTTCATTATTCAAAAGACATTTTTTCAGATGTCTGCCACCACAATGTTGAAAAACAATACGTACATGCATCACATAGAAAACCTTTGGAATTTCTAGTCCCCATAATTGCTCGTGAAAAATCTATTCTTTCCATCAATTGTGTTTTTGATGGTATGATAATACATTTACAAAATTGTTGTAAGATCCAAGATGATTCGATCATGGAAACTTGCTTAAGATTTTCTGAATAACTTTAAATAGCGTCCACGTTATTTATTAAAAATATATAAAACTCATTACAAACGATATAAATGTGTAAAAAAAACAATACAATGAAATTTTTAGATATTTGTTGCTCTCGTTAGTTTGTAAATTTGATGCGGAACTGGTTTTTTCTGTTTTTCATTTTTGTTTTTACAAGAAATAGAATTGGAGAACAATCCGTCTGACGGGAGCGATTAATACTTCTGGCCATGGACTAAGAACTTTTACTCTACAATCAGCTGTACGCTTCTCCTCATTCATCACAATCGTAACTCTCTGTGGATCCCTGGCCACGGAATTGTCGTTCGACGGAGAGTAGTTGCCATTACGGTCGTCCTTAATTTCATCGCTAAAAAAACAGTATATTACAAATTTCTTATCCAGTCCACATGGTTCATGACAGCTTAAGCCAGAAACGTGTGTATTCATGGTAAGAATAAAATTTGCATTTAATTAAACTAATTAATGTGCTCCCCACCCTGAAATGGAGTTTCCTATCGAGTTGCGTTTCGATTGCCTAATAGGATAATTGTGTCCCGCTGTGTTAACTCGGTAGCAAGTTACGAACATCGTCTCTTGGTTTTGATTTTGATACAGAAGCTAAGCAATTGTTGCTTTCCGTCGGCCCTTTTTTGCCCGCCTTTTTTGAACATTCTTAAATATTTTATTATTCCTTAAAAAAATCCAACAAAATCGTTAGGTAAAATAAAAATAAATAGATATATATTTATAACTGGAAATAGAACTCATGTGTAATAAGTTTGTTGTGCACTTCTCATTTTTAAATTTTTAAGTAAGAAGTTTGCAACGAACTGAAATAGAAAATTCGACCCTATAAAGTCTACATATATGTTCTTAATCTTGTGTTTCTGTGCGCTTTTCTAGTTAATCTAATTATTTTTTTTATATACATATACATTTTTTTGTTCGATATTTTTGACAAAGAATCTGCAGGGTGTAAGAACATCGGCTTACGAAGTTAACTTACTTTTTCCGTTAGTAATTAAATTAGCTCAAAGAAATAATTAAACTGTGTTTTGGTATTAAAAGCAGTCCAACATCTACCCTCAATAAAAATTCCCCGTATTCCAGGGTAATTTTTTGATTGAAATTTAAGCAGTGCATTTCCCTTAAATTCGAGTTTACTTCCTTGAAAGGATTTTTTTTCAACGTACAAGTAGTGCAACGAAAGCAGTGTAATAAATTCTACTGCTTGTAATTTTTTAGAACATTTTTGGTCGAAATTGTAGCAGTGAAGATTTCCCAAGCTCCTGGTCTGAAGCAGTGTAATACATTTCCTTGCTTGTATTTTTGTAGAACATTTTTGGTCGAAATTAAAGCAGTCAAAATTTCCCAAGCTTCTGGTGTTGAAGGGATTTTTCTGTCAAACAAATAAGTAATTAAAGCAGTGTATTTATATCCACTGCTTATACATGTTTAGAACTTTTTTGATTAAAATTAAAGCAGTGAATATGTCCCAAAAGTCTGGACTTGAAGGGATGTTTGTGCTAAAAGGACATGTTAAGACTGCAGCTAACAGTGAAATGGCAACGCCGGGATGGGGAGAGTCGTCTTGAGGGTATGATTTCGGTCGGGAGGCTTGGGAGCGTTTCCTACGCTTTTCTGAGGGTCTCCCAGGGTCGTGGCGGGTGTGGGGGAGCGGGGCGCTACTTTTGGGGGGTCTTACGTTGGGGGCCGAGTTCGGAAAACTGAGAAATTGGGGAAAAACCGGTAAAGTTCAGTTTGACGGTCTGGCAGCACTGTATTTTGCACATGGGTAACACACGCGATGGGAAAACTGGTGTATTCGATCACTTTCCACGGAAAACTGATCGCGAGGACCTGCCCCCCACCCCGGGCTTCCGTCGACGTCACTTTTTTCTCGCGGAAAATGCGGCGGAACGGAGAATTTCGCGACACACAGATTTCAGGTCCAGGCAGTGTGACCACCATTGGGTTCAACGCAAATATAGGCGCTTTCTGGCCACTTTCGCATGGCGTTACGGGACATTTTGCTGTTTCTCCAAGGTGGTCATACAGTTTGCGTTTTTTATATAATGGACCTTTTCAGGCTTAAATTCTTTGCCATGCCGCACCTGCGCGCCCAGGTGGACAAGCACCTCCGACAGGTGGATGATCCACTTCGGCCAAGCGGGATCCTTAAAAACTTGGACGGCGTAAATCGGTTAATTTAAAGCGGTGAATATTCCAAAATGAATTTAACTCTCGGCTGGAGGTTGTTTATTTATAATATATATATATATATATTTTTATTATAGATTTTAGAACACGCCACACAAGGATGGAACTTGTTTTCGTGTATTGACCAATTATTTCTAAAGATCCCAAAAAAGCGGGTAGCGGGGTGCTCCATATTTGGGCAAATCAGGTTCGGTCATAGCCGGTCAAAAGTTAATCAGGATGTTGTTACAGAAGACGTCCGTGTCTGTCACGGCCGATAAACTTATTTTCTTTGTTTAACATACTTTTGTTTATAGTTTTACATACAAATTATTTAATTTTTCATAATACTTTTTAATTTTATGGTAATCCTTTTTTCTAATTGTTTTTTTTCCGTTGCTAAATTTTTGGTTTATTTATAATTTAAACTTAGTTTGTTGTCTAAAATACTTTCGTTCTACAATGAAATGTTTGTATTATTCCGTTGCTTAGAACATTGTTTATTTATGATTTAAACATATTTCGTTGTTTATAGTTTCAAAATGAACGTTTTACAACTACCATTTAATTTCCCTGTATTCCTGTTATTTTAACAAGTAAATAACGGTTATTATGTTCTCCTTTCTAGCCCTGCCCCTCTTGAAATACAAGGATATTCCCCCAATTCGCCGCAAAGTGGCCATTTTCGGAGTGCGCCACCCCATCCTTCATCGGTAGTGCATCCTGTTCGTTGCTGGCAGGACTCGGCTTTTATCGGAGCGGTTACTTCAGCGAGGAGGAAACAACAATACGGAAAAGCTCCGGCCGCGCTTGCCGCAGTATCAAACGAATTCCGAGTCGCGGCGCACGTGTCTTCTCCTTTGGCGCGGATTCGACTTCGAGTCCTTATCGCAGAGTGTGAACTTCGCCTCGAAAGGATATCCCAAAGTTGCCGCTTTCGACTGCGGTGTTGCGGTTTCTCGCGGAAGGTGACAGTCACGAGGAACCACGTTTCGCATGTTTTTTCGCTAAAACGGATAAGGATCGGTCGGGTTCGACTTCGCTCAGTGTAATGTGCTTGAGGGAAAAGTGAAGTTTCCAATTGGAGGCCGCTTTATGCGGCCAGTGAAAGATATTGTCCCCATATCAGCTACCAATCATGCAAATCCAATGAAATACTGACAGACTCAATTGTGCTTCTCTATGTTTTACAACTAAACTAATGGAGCTGGGACCCAAAGTGAGTCGAACGAACGCCTTCATCTACTTTAATTTACACTCCTTCCTTAGTTTTCCCCATTCCACAAGATTAGCGTTTATTTTTATAACCGTGAACCACAGATAAATCAAAGAAATACATTTATTTCTCATCGGAAATGAACTCAGACGCGCGACGTGATTTAATGCTAATCGAAAATGCATTTGTTACTCAAGTTTCCTGAAAATTCTACGCTCGCAGACAGGAATTGAGAAAAAAAAAGAAAATATATTTTTTACAGCCCCCAGCTGAAATTCGTGTCAGTTGCATAAACAACCAAGAGTTTTCTGAAAAAAATGTTTGTTTTTTTTTTGCACCCAAATCAAAGTTTTCCCATGTTAAGTTGGAAGTTTTTCAAAGTTCCCCTTCGCCTTATCTGCTTTTGAAGTTCCGCTGAGTTTTTTTTGCTAAAGAAGCCCGTGGAATCTAATGAGCACGTGTGTTATGGATTGACTTTGAAATGAGCCCGGACTTCTTATGACTTTTTGTGGTGATATCAAATGAGTTCGGGTAATTAATTCCAATAACCGCAAAACAAAGAAAGGAGGGGGAGTTGAACGGTCAAAGTTTCGCTGCATTCGGTCGGTAAATAAACTTTCAACAGGCAGCTCAATGAAGTTAAAACTGCAATTTTCACTTTATTTATATTCGATTCCTGGAACAGTTTTAATGATGAATTTTTAAATGTATAATTATTTTCAAGTGCTGTAAGTAACATGAATCAGGACCTGTTGTAGTCAAATTTGTAATAACGTATCTATTTTTACCATGTTATGGTTAATGGTTCTAATAACGAAAATAGGCCTCTATTATATTTAAAAAACATGCATTTTGTAATAAATACAACATTGTTGACGTTCTCTATCGCGGTTTTGAAGGAAAATTATATTTAGCAGCAAATTCTAAAAATTACTGGCACAGCTTATTAGCACAATTGTGTATTAAGTTTTTTATTACCCGTCTCTTCTTAATTTTTTTCCTACTTCATTCATTGTAAAACTTTTAGATTAATTAACAGCAGTAATAACAAGATCATTTTAAACAGACACTATATGTACATATATATGTTCCTTCACTTTTAAAGCATTTAAACTAAATTAGTGCATCTTTAGAACACCAATTAAGATTAAAAAATGTGCTGGTCAATAACAGCTGTTTAAACAATTTATAAATAATATACTGATTAGACTTGAACCGTCGTTGTATGATTGCTCTTTCTTTTAAATATGTACAATATCCATTAGGGTATTATGTACATCACCTTATTTAAAAGCAAATATCTGTTATTGCTTTGATCATTATTATTAATTTTTACTTATTTTTTAACAGTTTGTATCAGTTAATGACAGTAATTAAACATACATTTTTCTATTCTTCCATATTACACAATAAAATAAAGTTTAAAAGTAAACTCGTCTGCCGGATATCCAGCTTTAAAAGGTTTTGACAAAGGTCAAGGACCTGGTAGCACTTTTTGCATGTGCCCTCCCCTGACCATTAATTAGTTGGCTTGAAGGAAAAGGAATATAAGTAGATGAGCTTGTCTCTCATTAATCTTGTAGCCTCATAAAGAACGGCCTAAATGGGACATATGTCTAGGGACAATCTCTAAAAACGACATTGAAATCGAACCGCTCCCCTTCTGCTCTGTTTCTCTGTTTTTCGTGTTCTTCTAATTGAATTTGCTTTCGAGCTTTTTGTTGGAATCTTTCTCTTAAAGATCAAGTGGTCACCAGGTGCTTTTGTGCCTTTTTGGCCGGTGTCCAGGTGATTAATGTGCAACCAGGTTTGTTTAATTAACTTGTATTTATGTCTGAAGTGCGCAAAGGAAGACAAAAGCCAGACGACATCATTGAGAAGTGGTTCCCTTTTGCTTGAGTTACTCTTCGAATAGGCTGAGTAAACATAATAAATGCACCTCAAATTTAAATTACCTAAGAAGACCCCCAGGCATATATCTCCTGTGCAGTGAGAACCACTAAATTTAATTAACCAGCGATACCATGAAAATAACAATTACAGCATCCGCATTAAGCTGATTCGATGATAATTTGCCGACCATTGTTTGATTGGCAACAACCAACAGCTCATTACACAATAGCGCCCACAACAGCTGCATTAAAACATTTATATGCTGTGATTACCTGGAGTGTCAGAGGGTATTCGCATCCGAATCGGAATTGATTCGATTCGATGCGATACAATATCTATTAAAGCCGCGCTGAGCCCGCTAGGTGAACATGCCGTCGTTTGTGTTGAAATTAACATTTTAATTGGATTTTGGCCTTCACATATTTGTGAGTGATCAAGGCTCGCGTTGCATACCTTTTCGCTGCACAATTTATGTATTTCATGGCCCAATAAAAAACTATTTGAGTGCGGCGAGCGGGATGTAAATATTAATGCAGTGGTTAGCACTGGAAAAGGCTCCGCAGGATAGGAATACCAGCCGTGTGACGTGGTGGCGATAAGCAACTTGCCAACACACAATTTATATGGGGGCTTAACAAATATAAACACAAATTCCGAAACAGAAAAAAAAGTTAATGCGACAGCAATTTGATACGGGATAAATGATGTGAATGAGGGACATTTATTACGAAGGCCTATGGTTAATATCAATGTTTGCTGAAGTTAAATTATGTATGTTAAATTTAATTCAATAGAGAAAAACATGTTTCACCATGACCTATCTTTACAAACATGCTGTATTGAGTATTTTTAAAATCTTTTTGGAAGTTTTAGTAAAGAATTTAAATCATAATACGTTTAAGGGGTACACCGAATACATTTTAATTTATTAGGTTCAAGCTTAATTAAATCTTAGAAAATTCGAAGGAGAATTCAGGTCTTCTATTAACAAAATAACTCTGATCTTGGGGTCCTCAATTTCCAGTTCAATTTAAATGACATTTTTTAGAACGGACATCTATTTAAATCGTCATTTATTAAATTAAGTAATATATTTAATGAAATCGTCATTTATTAAATTAAGTAATGTATTTAATTAACATGCCAAATTGTTGCTCAAGATTATTAAATAAAAATTAAATGAACAAGCAGTATAGCAAAACCACATTAAATTAGCATCAACTAATTAAATAAACACATTTTAATATCAATAAACGATGTAAGTGAATTTTCAGAAATAATTGGTTTAATTGAAATGTTCTCCTCTCTTTATAGAATGCACTTCAAAAACAATTGAACCTGTCCTCTGTCAAACCACTCACAGAAATGTGAACCGAAATACCTAAATTTAAGGTGCAAATTACACTCAAACAACCGCCTTTGAGGTGAATAATTATAAATAAACAGAATCGAGCAGAACCAGCTGGGCAAAAGGACCATGGCCATGGAAGGCAAATGCTTCGGCCGCATCGCTACGCCACTTCTTGTAATAATGATAAGCGTTTCGAGAGCTTGTGCAATGCAGCAGCAACACTTGAGTCCTGCCACACAACAGCATCCTGGAGTTAAATCATTATGTAAGTTGCACTCACGTTTATTCCGATAAATGAATTTCTATTCCACAGGTATAAAAGCACCAAAAGTCTCTTCTCTGTGACTTTAACTATGTGCTTGGATAGATTGGTCTTTCAATTAGCTACTCCCAAGTCGCAATCTAAAGTTTCAACATCTGTATTTAAGTTAATTAAAATTGTAGATATTGCACATTTAATGACATTACAATTGTTTAGCGAGCGTTGTGAAAAGGGAATCTTAACATCAGTGGGAGTAATTGACTGCAATTGAAATTGACTGAATAAAATTTAAATCATAAATAAAACTGAAAACAAATGAATTGTTGCAAATTTGTGGATTGATAGAGTCACTAAAAAAGCTTTGGGTTTTATTAGGCATTAACAAGTTACAAAATTGCTTTCGTACCCAGGTTACGAAAAGTAATTTATTTAGAACCTGGGCGAATTTGACAGAATAAAATAACTTAACTTGCAAGGTCACTGAACAGTTTCCTTAATAAATCAAAGATAATTTTTCTGCTTCCATTCCTTGTGTTAATTCCTAGAGTATGAGGAGTTTTTTTTGGGCCTGGCATAGCGTAATGCACTGAATGCCTTAATCAATTATGGCCAGCAAGCGAAATGTGAACAGAAGACTCAGGAAAATAGGCAAATAAACCAAATAAGCAAGCAAAGAATAAAATCTACTTAGCACATGTAGACTTTAATTAAATCATGGCCGAGGGGAGAGGGGGATGGCAGGGGGAGACAGCGCCGAGCCATCGCGGCCTTCATCTTAATCTGCAGACACCCAGCCGGAGCACATCCTTCAGAGCCTTTTCGGGGAAGGCTGGCGGGGTCTGAGCCCTGAACTCTTTGTGGTTGTGGCTTCCAGACGGTGGCAGTCAACGCGCCAAGGCCTTTTATGGTTATTCCTGGCGTTACTCGGTCATGTTGCCTACTTTCTGTACAAACAAACACGCAACAAGAACGCTGGGAAATCGGTGGGTGCAAAAAAGAGAATCTTGATGAGCTAAATCTGTTAGAAGTATTATGAAATAGATGACTTAAGGGCGTTACATATGAAAATAATTTACATTTAATAGAAAAAAAAGGTTAAGTTAAATAATAATTTACATTTAATAGAAAATAATTATTAAGTTCTTACTTAACAAATAATTTATAAAATTTAATAGTCAAGAAAGCTCTCACTTAACATATCTTATATATGTATTAAAAAATAGTCTTATTTTTAATCAATACCTTTTCATTTAATTACTATTTTTACTTTTAAAAATTTTTAGTTTCATTCAGATAACTTTTTTTGCTTTCCCCAACACTTTGGTTTAATGTAGTACACGCCGCGGCTAAAGTAATCCATGCGAAAACATGACTTTTAGGCAAAGTTAATTATAACATGAAAGGAAGCTAGCTTCAACAAGCCGAAGTTAATATACCATAGGAGTTTTAAAAGCAATTTATCCCTATATAAAATTACTACATACTAGTATATGATATTTAACGACTATAAATCTTCAGATATTTTCGATATTTTGAAAGTTTAAAACAACATAGAAATCCGTCTTTTATGATAAATTTGTCGATCGATTCCTGTGATATTTCCGTTACATCTTTTTAAAATAAAAGCTAACAAAATAGCTTGGGTTATATACGTATATGTTTAAAAACAAAGAAGCTATGTCGACTTGCTTCTCCTTTTCAGTCTGCTCAATAAACCAAAAGTAGGAACAATTTACTAGTGTTCTTTCTGCACTATTTGTAAGCCACCTGCATTTGTACACGGTTTTCCCCTGTCTGCATTGTTCCATCTCTGCAACTCCTGCTGGCTGGTGAGTATTGACCTTTGTTGCCAGTGACTTCATGATGTTGGCAATACCAGATGGCCTGTCATAAGGGAAACCCAGCCGGCAGTTCCCTACTTTATCGCTTTTCGGACGAAAGTCAGCCACAAACAGCAGACGGAGACAAGAAAGTCGAAGGACGATGGCCAGGAAACCTCCGGTCCCCAAGGACTTTCAGTAGCCACCTGACTGAGGAGTCCGGAAAAATCAACTCAAACTTTCCTGTTGTTTCACTTCGGAGACGAACGAGCAACAAAGAAAAGCGGGGAAACTGGAAATTGATCGTAAAATAATTTTATTGCCTTCCAGTCTGGCCGCACAATTAAACTCGAATTTGTGCGAAATCCTTAAACCATCAAAGAGAATTATTTAAAATTCAAAAATTCCGCACAAGCAGTTGTCGTGTCAATTAATAAAAGTTACGATTATTTTGTAGCAACAAAGAAGATTGAAGAGTGGCCATTCCGACTATTGTTGCCTCATTTCAAAAGGGCTATAAAAATGTTAATAAAAAGGGTTTTCCTGCAATTTGTTTTTAGGTGTTATTAAATGTTTCAAAAGATTCATTTAAAGGACCCCTAATTATTGTTTTTTTTATAAAATAAGCCTGTTTTTATCAGAGGCCTAAGAAAAGTGGACAATTATATTAATGACCCAACGTGATGGATTAATTAGTCATTAACTTACATTTTAAGTAGAATTTCAAATTACAGGATGGCTCAGGAATTTATTTTTCTAAGAATACTAACTGCAGGCACAAACAAAAGTTGTGTACGAGAAAGCGATTTTATTTCCTACCCTACATTCCACTTTAGCTGTGGCCAACCTTTTGCCATTGTTGTTTGTGTGTTGTCATATTGTCCTGGTTGCAGGACCCTTGGCTATTACGGCATGGATATGAGGAAACCATATAAATACAAGCTCATAAAAATCATGGCTGCATGTCCTTTGTGTTGAACTGTGGCTTATGGTCCTGTCCTTTTTGTACGTACCACTTTTTGTAGGTCAGACCAGATGTTTTTAATATTTATTTAGCAATATGTCATGAAGTATTTAATGGGGCCGTTCTTAAAAAAATATTTAAATCAAGCAAAATAGGACTAATTATAATTCATTATGGGTTAAAATAAGTTTGCTTTCTTTATTAACATTAATGTTTACGTATGACATATTATTTTTGTTTTCCGTCGTAGCCATAATTAAAAACAGGCTTAACTGTTTGTGCCATATTTTAATCAATTTTCAGAGAAGTTTAAAAGTTGACTGAACGTATGTATTGTTGCGTCTAATTTCCAGTCGCAGTTTCGGAATAAACGAATATGCCAAGCACGTTGGCCAAAATGCAATCTAATTTAGAAGACTTATCGGAGGGGACGAATCAGACACACAAAAACAACGGATGCACTGTTCCTGGGTCAGGAATAAATGAAAGTTGCACATGTTTTAGATGCCGAAACATTGTTCCTGCAATCAGAGATGCAGATAAGCGGAATGTGCTCATCCTGGTATTTCCGTGAAGTTGAACAAATTTAAAATTATTTAGATTTGCTCCAAATTAAAAGCAAAGATTTGCTTGAAATGCATTATTTTAGAGGTTTTGGAAAAATGTATGCTCTGCAGGAGCTGAGTTTAAAATTAGTTAGAGGCTAGAGTTGGTTTTTTTTTATAATTATAGGTCAACTCATCATGAATTCAAAGCTCATGACAAGAGTAGGTATGATTCCTATAATTCCCCTAAAATAACTTAGCTTGACTACCTAACAAGAAAACATAAACAATTCAATTAAGCTCACTTTACTTGAACAGCTCAAAAAGCCCTTGTCAAATATCAGGTTTAACCTTTTTCACATTCTTTAAGATACTTCGCAAATTCTTAGGCTTAGGATTACTATTTATATATATATAGTTATATATATGTTATCAATTTCTGCGGACCAGAGCATTTTCAATGGATGCATGTTTGATAAACTAATACTTCATAAACTCATGCAGATGAACATATGCTCAATTACGACGAAATCGTATACAATTCGAGTACCATCCCAAAAAACCAATTTCAGTACATGTGTAAATAATGATTTTGTTCTGCGGTCGGTGGGGTGAGATGTATTCGTTCAGCTGAAATAATCGTTACACATAAATTTCGCCTCGAAAAAATATTAGCTTTGGGTGCCGTTCGCCTAAAGCAAAACCCACAAACTTTATTTGTCGTGAGTATTGCTACTTTTTCATCGAATTGGGTATACTGATTCATGTGTGAGTTTCACCACGAAATACTTATTTGGGTTTTTTGCTTTTGTCAATCTTATAGTTTGAATACTATCTAATCAATTTTCTGAATTAATAAAAAAAAGTTTCCAAAAAGATACAAAATCATTCAAACCCAACAATTTGATGGGCCTGAATGTGTGTGAGGACATTGTTCCACAGGTTTCAATGTTCGAATACAATGGCTTTGGTTTTGGATTCCTTATTGGTGTGGCGAAATCTGTAACAAATCTTTTCTACTGTGAAAACATTACCCTTACGAGGCATAAAAGTTGACATATGTAACAGACGGCGCACACACAAATCTACAATGCGAAAGTCTGTATTGCTTGTGACAATAAGCTAAAAAAGAAACTTGAAATCAAAAACCAAGGCACACAAACATATGTGGATATAAATTTTCCGTGGGTTTTTTGCGGAAGTTGGGGTGAAAGGCCCCTAGTCGCATTTTCCTAAAGCCGTTCTGTTAGATTTATTTACGTTTCTCTCACTTTGGTTGCAACTTTTTTGTTTGGAGTTGTTGTTTTGTTTGGGAAGATAGGTTTATGTTTGCGGGGGTGTAGTACTAGTTTAGTGTTATGCAAACCGATTGAGGGCGTGACATTCGGCAAGTAAAATATAGTTTTTTGTTGGTAACTATCTATAAAGCTGTTACATTAATTATGTAGTTTTTGTAAATACAAATTCGGTTATAAATCATATTTTAGTATATAGAGTTCCTGTTAAGAAACTTTGGATTTCTCAAGCGTACATATGGGAATTAACTATTATAGACATCCATGTTAAACTGCATGTTAACAAAATTTGCTTAAATAGCTGATGCAATTATGAAATCTAGTCACATTTTTAAGCATGGCAGAATTGTTTTTTCAATTCTGACCTTAACAGACACTC